ATCATGAAAGAAAATGAAAAAACAAACAAACAGTAAGAAAAGAAATTGATGAGGGAAACTTGCTCTTCGCTCACACACAAGCATGCATGCACGCACAGGCCGCCTTCTTTTTTTTTTTCCTTTCTCTTCCCGTTAAAAAGTTGATCAGCTACGTAGTTGCTTTAAATACACGACGTGTAATCCTCCTTGTCTTATGTTTCATTTTTGAAGAATACTTACGAATTTCAAAAGCTGCCCGGCTTTCTAAATTTCACCTGTGGAAAGCCGTGACAAACCTTGACAAATAAGAGGGACCGCATCAAAACGCAGTGTGCTGGACGCAACTTACAAAAGATAAAACTAAGCAACATTTTTATACGATGAGGGTGGCTCAAATTCCATGGCGCACTAAGTTTTGGGGGGAAAAAGGGGCTACCGTGGCTGCTAGAAACATAGTGTCAATGGAGCCTTACAAAACCTTTGATGAGTACAGTATGCGAATGAACAGACATCTCCCGACATGACGCGTGCATGTGAAAGGAAGCAACCATATGATATGACTATATTTTCAATCTTGAAGTTTATCTCATGTCCTGCCCTGCAGCTAAGAAAATCTGTTCCATTACGAGTAGCAGGTTGCTGAAGGATCTGTCCAATTGAGATCCTCAGGTTAAGGAAGCTTTTTTTTGTTGTTGTTGTTTTTTTGTGTGTTTGTTTTGTTTTGTCGTGTTGCAGATAAATATCTGTTTTTAAGAACCAGCTATGACCGGAAATGATTCAGCATTAGTCCGCCAATTGAGTTTTGAGGCTATCATAAGTTTCCACAGAAAAAGCAAGACATTGAGTAACTTTATTACTTGTGACAATCAGTAACACCGATCGCATGCAGAATCCGTCATGCTGTTAATAATTCGGTGAAGCACTCCAGGTGTAAAGTTTGGACTTCCGTCCAATAAAGGTCAATTTTCCCTAAGGCTCTTTTTAGATGCCGTCATACTAAGAAGAGTGGAAATGCACAACACACATCCTTTGGTTGCCTGTTGTGTTTATATTTTGGACATCAGCGCTCATCTTACCCCAAAGAAATAAACAATAACAAAAAAAAAGGTCCCAAAGATGAAGGATACAGAAATTGACAATTTTCCTCAGGCGTGTATGTCATGGATTCAGCTTCAATGCATAATTTAACTTTTGAATGTAAAACACACATTTACTCAACACTTCCGCCAAAGAGTAAATTCAGCGTTAAACCGGGTAAAAAAAAACAAAAACAAAAAACCCCCAATAAAATAATCAGTCAAATTTGTCTTGACAGGGAACCCCTGCATTCTTGTCAATTCACGTACGACTTGATGAAATTTGCTCATTGCTCAGTGGCGTGCCCCTGGGCACCCCCCGCCGCCCCTGTCTGAAGCATGTCAATCAGAAAAATGTTACATCCATTCCCACCCCCCCTGTCATTTCTGAAGGGCCATCAAAGGGGCATCCATCATGAAGTCCATCAGACAGCGGATTTATGTCGACTGCTTTAATCAAGCTGTATGCGGCTAGAATTTACGAGCTTTCCTGTGTCTTTTCTTTTTACGCTTGGGAACTCGTAGGCCAATAGATCTCTGCCATAATCATCCAACTTTTTTGCTACTTCCTTCAAACTATGCGATGGACTGTTATGAGTGAGGGAACATCTTGAGAATGTTAAGAGTGCTGAGCCATTGATGTGACAAATTCATCACCTGATAATTCTTTGTCATGTTAATAAACTTGTCGAAACCCGTCATGTCAGCCAACAAGCGTGTTCAGAGCAGTTTTATAGCCTCCAGTAGACATCTTGACAATGCATTTTCAGTTTTACTGGATGTTGAACATTAAAAAATAACGTACGAAAAAAGATGACCTTCTCCTGAATGTTCCTTGGCAGCAAGCCTGGGGAAATATGGTGTTGGCCTGTAAAAACATGACCTCTTATTAAAGTCTTCTCCTGATGGGACTGCTTTTGAAATAAAGCCTATAAGTGTCAAAGCAGTCCAATAAAGTTAACGGGCGGGATTTTGTGAAACTGATAAAGTTCAGAATATGTGAATTATTATATACAGTATATGTATGGATAATTGTTGGAAAACACTGCCTAAATCCCAGTTTTCTGACATGAATGTTCAGGCACTCCTTTTGTTATCTTATTTGTGATAAACGATGGACAAAATTTGAAAAACACTCAACGTTACGACAGTATATAGACATAAAACACCCTATTATCAAATGTGCTTTCAAGTAATATTCAATCTCGATCATTCCATGTTACTGTTGTTACCCTCTCGGTATACATTACAGCCTAGTCATCCTGGAAGGTGGCTCCTCCATCTGTAATCTCTTCTCAATTTTTTTTTTTTTTTTTTTTTAACGCCAGCTGTTATTTGGGGGAATATTTGTTTGTCCCGATTGGATAGACCGAGGGGTATTTTGATCTCTGTAAACTATGAGCTTGTGATACCGTTTGAGACCAATTGAAGCCAAATTAAAATTGACCGGATTTTACTGAGAGAGATTGCTGGCTACCGTGAGCTTTGAAGATAACCCGGACAAACCACAGTTCTTCTGGAAAAAACATTCTCTGGCGTTTTGGGGGGCAATGTGCACCAGTGTTTTTTTTTTTGTTTGTGTTTTTCCTTCAGCAATGAAATGAAGCCAATAATGTGAAAACAAAAACCTACAGTTAAGCATGATCCATTGTATTGCGGCGGTCTTTTGACATGTTGTGAAGTCAGTTATTATATTGGCATTTTAGTGAGAAATGTTTCAACCCACTCTCAAGAACAAGGTTCGGAATACAATGGGTAAAATTTAAAAAAAAAACACTGTTCCAAAAAGAACATCATTATGCATACAAAGACTTTGTTTTGAACTGGAGGGTCATGAGCTCAAGCCCACAGGAAACTGTTGAACAAATAAATCTGTCATGGGTGAAATAGGCAAACATTCAAGACCTAAAATAAATACAGAAGAATAAATGGGAAAAAACATCACCTGACTCGCGCAAGGAGCTTGAATGGGCTCGGGCAGGTATCTTCAAATGGCTCTGGTGTTTGTGATGAGGAGCGGGCCAGTATCACATTAGCACAATTTTCGGCCAGGGGCATAGTGGTAGAGGAGATTGCTGATCATCGCATATGTTGAGCCCAAAGCGTGAAAGGTTTTGTGGGTCAATCGAAGAAGTCTAATGACTAAGCAAAACTTAATTGGAAGCCAGTGAAGGTGTAAGAGTGTGAGGGTGACGTGCCACCAGGTCAATGAGCAAGTGAAAACTCATCTGTGCCAGTGGTGTTCTGGTTTCAATGAAAAAAGAAAAAAAAGATGAAAGAAGACTGACTTTGTGGTGAATTTGATGTGGGATTGGAAGGAATGGTGACAAAAAGGACGGGTACTCACTCTTGTCAGATGAAAGTGTCATTTGTCTAAACCAGCCAGCCACCATTTTTTCTTGTTTCTGTCATGTATTACAAAGCATATCAGCTCGGTGTTGACCCTTGACAATATTTTGACATTTACAGTGGGTGACCATTTATTTCAGTTGGAGAATGCGTACAATGTCCATACGTGTGTGTATATGTATGCGCTGATTGTGTAAGAAAGAGTACATTTATCATGGTTGCAGCTGCTCAAATGACAACACAAGACAAATTTGACAGTGTGCACAATCACATTCGTCTTCACCCTGAACTACAGCCAACTAACATAACGGAGAAAAACATGTACAAAGCTATACAATTTGTTCTGACAGGAGGTTATATATCTTTGTCAAGTCTGGACCCATGAACTAAAAATAGAACCATACTCCCAAACAATATGATGATTGGAAATGAGTCTTGGAAATCTGTAAAATGAAAGATGCTGTGCCTAATGCCAAGTGACGCATATATACTGTATAGCATTAGGCACAGCTACAGGGCAAGAACGGAGATACGGTGCTTCCTGAATATATCAATTACTGTATCGATTAATTGAGGAACCAGATTGAAAAAAATATATATTTTCAATTTCAATGCCTTTATTCAAAAACAGGACATTGTATTTCACATTGAAAGTGCAGAAAACGCGCAGACTAATTAATTAGGATTCAGTTACTTGCTTGCGCCGTCACATTGTCAGAAAATGGGCAAAAATGTTCCTTATTTTCCCAAATAAAAGCAGATGTTTGCAAATGTTTTATTCTGAACACAAAGATAATCGGTCATCTTGCATGGAAAACAACCGAAATCAGAGAATATTTACTGCTGTGAGGCCGGCATGGGGCAGAGGAGACTTGGGCATGCTCGTGTGGATTTGATGTGAGGGGGCAAGGCTTTTGTTTCTTTCCCTGGCTTTAAATTACAGCTTTGGGCCTGCTATACAACAATTGCTATACTTGATTTAAAAAAAATTATAATAATGATACATGAGAAATGCAAGAAAAGATTTTTTTACAATATGTGCAGACAACACATCATTCAATTTAACATTTGTGACTCAAACTAGCCATGTACGGTTTTATAAAAAGATTTCAGTCGCACCACAAAAAAAAAAAAAAAAAAAACTCACTCCAAAATTAGAAATGCGGGGTCAGCCTCTCAATATACATAAACACTATTGACAAAATATCTCCATTCATTTTAACTTTTGTGACTAAAACTAGCCATGTACTTTTTAAAAAAAATATTTCAGTCGCACAAAAAAAAAAAAAAAAAAAACTCAACCAAAATTAGAAATGCGGGGTCAGCCTCTCAATATACATAAACACTATTGACAAAATATCTCGGTCTAACTTATACATAAGTGTGGCATTTAAAATACGCTTTCCTTTCATCGCACATGGTGGTTTGACATAGTCACATGTTTTCTATACAACGCTACAGCAACCCACCGAATGAAAACACATGAAAGATGTTAAAGGCACTTCATTCTACAAATCAGCAAGTAAAACAAAATCCCACAGCACAATAAACCATATTGATTTCAATGCAGATGCGGTTCAGAATAACGACTGAGTCTGTGGGCAGAAAGGCATTTATTTCTCTCTCTCAAACGAATACACTCGAACACAAGTACTAAAAGCACATCAACGATTATTAAGTGTTATTTCTCTATAAAGTGCTTCAAGCCACTGTTTCCAAGGCCCGTATCGAGTCACTTACCACAAAACAACAGCTTGTTATCACACATTCCTCTCAAAGACCAAGACTGTTTCAAAATAAAAATATACATATGGCTTTGAGGATGCAACAATCTTAGCAATAGTAAAAAGTCAACAAGACTGAAAACTTTTTTTTTCTTTTCCCCGCCACCGTTTTGCAAGCAAAAATCAATAAAGCTAAGGCTGCGTTATTAAAGTGACGGCCATTCCGAGTCACTGTCTTTCATTCCACATATAATAATCGATACCCGTCACAGTTTGCTAGGAGGTTATACTTCGCCAACTTCCTGTTTGGAAGCTCATTGCAAGGGGAGGTAAAGTGTTGTAAACATTTTTTTGCACTTGATCTGGCTTTGCCTACAGAATGCAGATGCAGTGCGTGAGACTGTGGAATGTGACAGACAGACATGAGAAGAGCCAACTTGCACTTGGTTGCCTCGAATTTCTCAAAACAATTTTCCCTCCATTGTTGGTTTTGATACATGTTCCAGTGACGCGTTCGCCTGCAAGCTTGGTTATGATATTTTCAGTCTCCAATTAATCAGACATTACCTCAAAAACTGGGAAGCAGACTGAAGCGCTTTGATGGTTAAGGTGGTCTAAAACCTGCTTTTCAGATGTCGAGGTCCGTCTACACTTTTAATAGAGGTTAAAGTAATGGGATGGAAGTATGAGCGCGCATTAAAAGAAATATGTCGACCCGTCGAGTTTTCACATCTATATGGGGGTGTTTGTCTGCTTTTAAGGGGCGGGCTTCTTTTTCGGAGGTTCGCTGAAACTGATGAGATGATGCACGTTTATTTATAAAGTGACACACCTGCTATTAACATCTTCAAGTTCTCTTTTTTTTTGGGGGGGGGGGGGGGTCAGGAAGCCAAAGGTTTGGCTTTGAGTCAGCAGGATGGATAGATTAGAAGGAAGGTAGACAGCCAAATAGTTCACGGTCACAGAAAAGGTGTTGAAGTCGTATGAAACGCTAAGCGATTCCAGATATTATTGTTGAAACGCAGCCTTCAGAATTTCTAATCTCAGCATCGCAGTTAAGATCCCATGACCCGTCACGAGACCGCGCGAGAAAATGGAAACAAACTGAGGCAGAACCAGGAAGTTCTCTTTCAAAGATAAGCAAATCCTAGCCACAGATTTTCAACAAAACCTTTGCGTTCACCCAAACCCTGACACTTAAGGAATGGGGGGTGTGGGGGGCGATCAAGCTGCTGATGGACATGGCTTGAGTCGTACGGTGTGAGAGGTGGTGAAGAAGGAAGACCCGTATTTTTAACAATCCATCTTCCGTTGGTCCAGCTGGACGACCTGGATGATTGGAGGAGAGGCGCTGAGTGACGGCCCGCACCAACAGGCGGACGATCGCCCCAGATGGACCTGACATGTGCCGCTGGAAAGTACAAGCACAGATGAGCCATTGAATGTGACATACCTGGGGGACATTTCGACATGTGGGCAAGCACTGGACAGCCACGAAAAGAGCACATTGTGCTCACAAGACCGCCGTTAAATGGCACAAGAGAAAAGCACATCCTCGTCGCAAGCAAACATCGGCATATTCTGATGGGGTGTCGCCGCTTCCTAATCTTTAAGACGTCGGGTGGGGTGAAAAAGCAGAAAGTGGGAACGCCAAGGCTTGCAGCTCTCACATCAGGCCACCATGTGCAGATGGTCATGTGTTAGTCAGACGTGACGGGACGGGACGGTGGAACGGACATAGAAACATGGAGCGTAAAAAGAATACACACCGCGGTTGGAGTCAAATAATTTTCAGATTAGTCAGTTGACTACATAGGAAAAACCAACAAAAATATATAAATAAATTTATTTATTATTACACATTATTATAAATAATAATAATGTGTAATAATGACGCGAGGTCAACACATTAAAAATAATAATAATGTGTAATAATGACGCGAGGTCAAAGTCCCACCCAGGTCGAATTTGCACTGTTACATACTTGCCTTCAACATAACGTGTCGTGCCGAGTAGAAGTGGTCACAAAGGAACTGGGCCAGTTTGTTACATGTCTCATATGATTGCCTGAGGCAGATGGAGTTTACCCCCACCCCCTCTAAAAAAAATAAAAAAATCCTCGTGGTTGTATTGGACTGGTTGAAACACAGTCATGTGACACTACCCAAGGCAGAAGTCTCTCTGACAAAACCAAACACACCGTTCGAGCGCGCAAACGATCATCGATCAATTAAAAATAAAAGTTGTGAGTGGAGTGTAGTAAAACTACATTTTCTTCCTAAGGCATTCAAACAAGGGCTCAACCGATATGGATTTTTTTTTTTTTGTGGCCAAAGCCAATGCCCACATTTGACAGAATAAAATTCTGATAACTAATCAATTGGCTGATTATTTAAAAAAAAAAAAAAAAAAGTGATTTTGCAGTCCCTTAATGCAACAATAATGTTTCTCAAAAAGAATTACTTCCCGTCAATACATTGAACAGAGTAAATGTGCGGTGTTACGACGCGCCTCCGTTTCACACCAAACCTAACAAACCACGCCTTGACGTTCTACGGTGATGATGGCTGATATGCAACGTACAATGTGGCACTGCGCTGTAAAATGGAGAAATGGAAAAGATTTGACTCCAACCTACAAAAATGAGATAATGATTTTTCTATTATAAGCAAGTATCAACATTTCTCACCCCGTATACACAAAACAGTGATAGCAGCAAAGTGTGGAATGCATACGCGTTGACGTTCTATGGTGATGATGGCTGATATGCAAAGTACAATGTGGCACTGCGGTGTAAAATGGTGAACTGGAAAAGATTTGACTCCAACCTACAAAAATTAGATAATAATTTTCTATTATAAGCAAGTATCAACATTCCTCACCCCGTATTCACAAAACAGTGATAGCAGCAAAGTGTGGAATGCATGTTAATGTAGAGGAAAGAAAAAAAAGACAGAAGCCCAACAGAGGTAGCCTGCAGAACTGCCAAATTTAGTACCTCACATGTTCTGGATTCTGCTCTCAGATTGGGGCCTCATGACTGCAGGATGCGATTGTCAAGAGCAGAAGGGATGGAAAAGAAAACAAAATATTTGATCTTCAGAAACAACGCTGAAAAACAGAGTGCCGAGGGTGACTCATCCAGATTTTGTACCCATTTCGCTATTTTTGATGAACTTGAGACAAATTGCCAATGCCGCTTGCTGACTTGCTTTCATCGACGGCCCATTTAACTTGCGAGGAAAATGATGTCGGACATGTGTTTAACAGACACAATAGATTTGTGAAAACCACAAATTGATTCATTTCTTTGGCGTACTGGTTGCATCTGCTCTGGAACCAAACACATTTATCATTGCATGTATTCCGCAGAATGATGATTCATGTCTGTGTGACAACATACGGCACGGACCTGATGTAATTCATTCGTGGGACAAACTGCTTTTTTACATGACTAAAGTAAACCTGTGGGTTGTTGGTTCTTTTAATCTGGGAATCATTTTACCAAATCAGATCAGAAGACTTGCTGGAAAGTGTTGGAATGCTGCATGAAGATTGACGCGGCTGAGGCATTTGGCTCATTTAATACACTGTAAATAAAATACTTGTGCGTGTGCATGTTTGCATTTGTTATGCTCGTGTTGGCCACCGGTGATGGATTTTATCTGGTGCTCTCATGCGTTTCGCTTCTTTACCCGGGGTCGCTCGGCATGTCCTGATCGGCCTCCGCCACAGATGATTCCACGTCTGCCTCCGCACTGCTCTCACTGCCTTGCACTGATCGGCCGCACGGAGACTGAGAGGTCACACTTTCACCACTGACAGCCCATGGGCACACAAACCGAGACCGTTGTGATTGATTTATGTTCATAGAGCATATTATGAGCGGTGTAAATGAAATCCAGCAAAAATTGCGGAACGAGTGTTGATTTTCCAACTGACTTGATATGCTTTTCCATGAGCAGAATGGTCCGCTCTTTCTCCTCAAGGCTCCTCTTGAGCGAGGCAATTTCTTTTTGCTTCTCCAGCAGTTCTTTCTGAAGACGGTAGTTGCTTTCTTCGAGAGTCTCGCAGAAAGCCTTTGAGGTGGATGAAAGAAGGGGACAAAAAGCAGTGTTTGGCTTTGAAATGCTCTAGTTGTATGTAAGCAATAAAAAAAAAATTGCCAAAGGCCTTGGTTATGTTAATAAGTGTTGCACAAGTCTAAACTTTATTCCCCGAAAAGTTTCCTGGATGTGACACGGTTGCTACTCGGAAGCTAAGAAAAAAAGAAAATAATTATTTCGAAGAGTAAAATATCTGATGAAAATTTGTTTTACGTGTACCGTACAGTAATATCAGAGTTCCTCAGTGTAGTTCTGAGACTTTAAGCCCGTATGCCACCGAGCGGCGAACAATTGCGAGTGCGTTCAAACGCGGCGAATGCTCGTCAGGGTTCCTTCAAGCTCTTTCATAGTTGTTTGGATGGATAGATCAAGATAGTCTGTGCATCTGCAAAATGTTGAAGTTGAATTTGATTCCACTTGAAAGATCAAGTGGACCATTTAGCCATTCAGACTGTTTAGTTGTGACACGCGTCAATGATACGAGGTGGCGGGATACAGCGCTGAGATTGTCAACAATCATTTTTTATTGTCGGCTTTGGCTGTGAATGTGGTGTGCAAAACACTAACTGTGATGCATAGTTCCAGAATTAGCACACGACATGTGGGTCCAACAGAGCGGCAGCAGAGCTTAAACGACATTTATCGTAAACTGTGTTCCCAGCAGTGGTGCAAAGTGGCTGGTGAGTCTGGAAACTTCAACGGCACAATTACGTTTGGAACATGGTCGCCATGGATACGTCCCAGCATGTGGCCTTCTAATGTGGTTCCTAACATTGGTTGCATTCTGTCAAGGCATTCCACAGTTGTCAGTGCGAGGTTTAGGGTTATAAATATTGCTGCTTCAATGTTGGACAGCATGTAGTTTTCTCTCAATAACTACTTCTCTTCTGGGACCAAAACATGCAAAAGAGCCATTGTTCACTTAGACACTCTACAAGCATTGGGATTTGGAGAAAAGAAAATGGAAGGGGCCGAGCATCGTGTCTGCAATACATCGAGGAGATCAGCCTTCCGAGGCCAGCGCCAAGAAAGTCAAGAATTGTTTTGGTTGAGGCCAACACAAATTTTCTGTCGAGTCTGATTCCTCTGGCTCGCATAGGACTGCCAGTCAAGTTCAAATGCATACTTTTATGTAAAACGGTTTCAAAATGTACTGCCTGCCATGTGAGATTTCATTTCATGGTGCCCAAAAATCAATATAAATTTGAGGGAAAGGAACAAAAAATATATATATTCCTGTCAGACTAAATTGTTAGTGATTTTTTTTTTTGGGGGGGTCTGGGGGCTGTACTTACTTTCGTGACAAGAACATATGGATAATTCTCCTATAATTTTATCAGAAAAAAGGATTCAAACATGAGACAATGTCAACATTCCGACACACACTTCAAACCCCAGATACATACAATCAGCAGATAAATATGTTGGTATAATATAAAGTTGCATTCATATACACCACAGAAACTCAGACCACACAAACCTCTTTGCGGCCACATGTCAAGACTTACCCTGCTCTCCTCCAAACTATCGAAGGGCCCTGGCGGTTCATCCAGACATAAAAACTCTCTCACTGATTGGCTGTCAAACAAAGACAGTGGCATGATCTACGTGTTAGTCTTTGTGTTCAACACAGAAAAAAAGATCAACAAAAGAACAAAAAGAGATTTCAACAGCGCGGTTGTGTGACATACCAGTTGGCAATGTCCTTGTGCGCGACTAAGTTTTGCAAAAAGGCCTGAAGACCCAACTGTCTGTCTTCCAGGAAGTCGCTGTCATAGTTGTCTTTAAACCACCTTTTCGGAGGCAGCGCAAGCCGAAAGCCTGGAAACGTCTCTTTCAACTACAGGAAAGCGCACAAAAACAGAGAAACTACGATGTATGGATCCACATTTGATTTTTAAAATGCACCGATGAGAAAGGACATTCGTAGGACATAAACAGGTTTGTTCAATAGATACGCATCACTTCTTACCAGTATATTGCTCCCATCTTCCGTTTGGATCGGTGATAGTTTATTACTATTATTTTCTTTTGAACACGCTCAGCAATGATAGGCCGCCGAAATTATGATCGCCTTTTCTGTACTCTTCTCCTAACTGGTACTTTTGAACACTGAGACCGAGATGATTCTGTGGAAACTCTCTGCAGGCCACGGCTTGTGCTTTAAGATGTGACGACAAAAATGTCAGGCAAAGACCATGAAAAGGTTGAATTTTAAACAGGTGGTAATCGGCCGCACTTTAAATGGCAGCGGGTGTGGGCCGAATCCAAATTCATGTAAATGCTTAAAAAGGCAGCCGTGGTGTGCACGGTGCAAGCCGGCGCCAGCCACACATCAGGAGACTAAAATGCGTGTGAGGAGCAACTTGCTGTTTATTTCAATTACAGATTTTGACTTTATGCACAGAAATCTGGTCACAGAAGAAAGCCTGAACGAAATTACACCCGCGGGTGCACGCACACAAAGAAGTTCCAATATACTTGATATGCTGGAATGAAGAATCAAGACTTTGGGGTAAAAAGATAAATCGTTCATTTGTGCACATTTGTAGCGCAACTGTGGAAAAAGCAGAGGGAATTCCATTTGTTGCAGACTGCTGATTTGTGAACAAACTGTCCTGCTTGCCAAGTCAATTCAGGGCAGTTGACTGTTTGGGAATAGTGGGCTTCTTTGTTTAGCTGTAACCACTTCCAGTGTGTGATCCAAAACAAAACAGACTGAGAAAACAAAAGGCGTAGTTGCAGTCAAATCCCTCAGGGGTTATAGCGTTGCAAACTTGAGCTCGACATGGCAAGTAGTATTTCCCTCCATGTATTAACAAACATGCGCTGACAACGCACCTTGTCGTTGAGTCGGGAAAAGTCGGCGTACCTCCTGAAAACAACCCAGCTCTCATCTGTGGGTTTCCTGACCAGGACTTTATATACCTACAGCAAATTGCAGACACCACACACAAGACGCGCATGTTTACAACTGCAAATGTTATTTTTGGCGGTGTCAACATTGAAATAGACAATGAAAGAATCATCAAATTAATCAACAACGACTATTTTGATATTAAAATCATTGTTCAGAGCGACTGTTTGATAGTCTAAATCCTTTGATCTCAGCCCAGTAAGTATTCTGATTTCTGGAATCACTCGCGAAAGAAGAGTGATTTGCTTTTCTGTTTGATCAAAATAAGATATTTGCAAACATCTGCTTGCACTTTGGAAAATAATGATCACCCCCCCCCCCATTATTTTCCAACATGTAACAGGCCAAACCAGTTACTGAATCATAATCAATTTCAATTGATAAATATTTAGTCAGTCTAATCTGGGAAATGAGTAAGTATTTGCGGTCATAGTGTGAATAACCCGTAACTGACATGTAGTTCAACTCGAAGTATCCTCAGCAGAGTATATCAAACTAAATAGCCTTTTGCATTAATCCAGACCCAAGAAATAGCGCTCAGTTTCAAAAATTGCAGAGTACATCACTCCCGCTTTGTTGTAATATGAAAAAAGTGATCTTCCAGATGTCACATGTAACTAATTCTCAGTTTCTGTACCGTAAACTTTGACCTCTCCTCCATGACCTCGTATCCAAGAACAGTTGGGGTGATTGGCCTCTCCTCTCCTCCTCCATGTTGGCTCTCTAAAGGAGCTGAAATCGAGCGGGGGCAACTCGAATACACTACCGAGGGCTCGAGAGTCCTGTTTTCTCTCGACAGCGTGACGGGGCTCGGGAGAGGTGTTGGCGTCTGACTTCGAGTGCTTCTGTCCGTGCAACGGGACTGACGCTGAGAACTACCGCATCTTTTTTCACGCTCGCCCACTACTGAGGATGAAGACTCTGAGCTGCTGGAGACGCTTCCTAGCGAGGAAGCTCTTGGTGGCCTTCTCAGCTTGTTACTGCCACTCGATGATGAGACTCTGTCCAACGGTACTGGGACAGGCACAAACGGTGATGCCATCCCGTTGCTAAGTGACCGTCACCGCCGTCCCAACGTGATGACTTGCCTCTGTCGTACAGATTGATGCGGAAGCCTGACAATAATGCTCAGTCAGAGGGGCTGGCGAAGACGGTCAACAACCTGGAGAAAAATGTTCCAAAATGTTTTACATGTACACTCGGCCGCTGTACTCCCCCATGCAAATCATAATAAATTAATCAAAGAAGTCCACATTTTGTGTGCAGAGTGGGAGAAGCATACAAATAATCTTGTGGTCAACTTTCCTCTTCATGCTATGTGTGTGTGTCCAATTAGCAATCAATTTTCCTCCCAAGACCATACTAAATGACTTCTGCTACTCTATGACGTTTCTAAACACAATTAAGCCATTTGGTATATTAGTTGGATAACTGTGTGTTATAAGTGCAGCAAACTAGTTGTGGGCATGTTGATGCGACTAATAGAGTACAGGAGGATACTAGTGCATGGTACATGTCAAGTCGTTGGACCTAGTAGAGCTACTCATGCAGCACAGTGGTTTACAAGTGACGTTCGTTGAATCGTGTACTAATGCCCTAAAAGTGAAACTATCAATCGAAGAAACGTTTTGCAGCTTATCCGAACATCTTGTACAGGATATACAGGCACCCGCCCCCCTCCGACTCCCACCAAAATAAATCACTTTACGTAGTCGTCACGTGCATTGATGCCTTGCTGATCAGCTGAAACCGACTCGTCGACGTCACGACCCGTTTGCTGATCACTAATAAGCATCTGTTAACGCTGCAAGCTAGCAAGTGCAATCAGTCACCAGTCAAATCACACCAAAATATTAAAACAGTCGAGTTGGCAAGTAACTTTATACTAAGGCCCAATCAAAATACAACTCTTGCTGTTATCATCCAGGAGTATTTTCGAAATGAATTCAGAGTTGTGGGCACATTACAAGACCATGTTAGCTCGTAGACTAGCATGAGTGGATATTAGGCACAGTTCATAAGACAAATACCACAATGTCAGACTTACCGTAAGGCAGGTAAGGTTCCCCTTGACTATACTCAGGCAGCCGGGCGTGTGATTGTCTTGTTGGTGTTTGTCCATTTCACATCGCAGAGTCATCTGCTCTTCTGTATCATGTTAGCATGCTCGAGTATCAGTGCACAACTGCAGTGACTTACTACAGCCACGCGAGGGTAGTAAAAACACGTAAGTGGCTCCCGAGAGGGTCCCATTAGTTGGGGTCATGGAGTTTGGAACGGCTGAATAAAGCACAAGGTCACGAAATCTCTGTATTACTTGATCACATGTGTCAAACGCCTCCCTCCGACATCACGTCCCGTCATTTTCTACCTGAGGATATGGCTGTCCTGAAAGAAATCAGTAGAACTATTAAAATTAAAGCCCAGACATGTCAGAAATATAACCATTATTTCTTATGATTTTAAACCGACATTGAAATCAGTGTCAAAAAAGCAGAACAGAAAATGAATGGATGGATTTTATGTTTCAATGCACTTTGCACTAATATACATCTTAAATATACATAGATAGACAATATGCTTCCATATCCATGCAACTCTGATCAACCCTGGATTTGTTTGTCTTTCAACACATTTGGAATAATTACTTCCAGATTCTAAACGGCCACGATCATTAAAACGACACTATATTGTAATGTTTAAAATACAATTTTCCCTTGACTTCTGACTTGGAAATTCGTTTTTGGGGGGGTAAAGGTCAACAATTATTGAATTCAGGTGCCATCATGTAATGATCAACACATGATTATAGTTTATACCTTGAGGATTTCACCGTTATAACCAGACATTTGTGTAACCGTAACCCTGATGTGGCCTGTGATGAAAATGCGCTCAACACCCCTTTCCTAGATAAGCTGTCCTTTTACTATTACGAGTGGTTGCATTATTTTACATTCCATTTAAGAATGGTAACGTTTTGGTTAAAAGGTTACCTCTGTATTTGCTCTTAATTTGTTTTAATTAATTTCATACTTGACATGTTCTTTGAATGGGAGTGAATTTCATATGTTTCCAAAATTTTTCCAGATGTATTTATATGTGTTCGCTAAACTTACCCTGCTCAGCGTTTTTGGCAAAACAAAGCGGGGTTGGGTTTGACTGTGTCACAGACGAGACCCATTCCACTGCTGGGTGTGAATCAGTTCTGTCTGGAAGTAGCTAAACCTATTTGGGTGTGGCAATTGTGTATAATAGCGCAAAACGAGTCAGTCACAACAAGTTTTCCTTGATAACTCGTTGTCTTGAGGCACACTCTCTGTAAGTACAGCGTATCATCCTTATAAAGATACAGATATAAAAATGGAAACAATTTACAGATAAAATCTAGAAAAGCATTTGGATTGAGTGACTCACGTGATTTTAGTGCATTGCGAACTAAGGTGGAAACCAACTGTAGTTCTTGACTGAAAGTTTCAATTGTTACATTCACGAAACAAAACATACTGTAATTCATTCAGTTCTTGAAAATAGTTCATAGATTTTTAAATCATTAAAGCCTTGCAATGTTTTCACGTCATTGTCCCTTCAATGTTCACAGCGAGAAGGGTATGGTAATTGTAGTTGCTTTACAGTGAGTGCAAGAATAAGTTCGAATGCATTTATGTTTGATTTTTTTTTTTCATCCACAAAAGGGTTGTTTTCATCAAAATGTGTTTATTTGTATACCACCACTGAGTAGACTACTGACTGATGTGAGGCTATGCTGTCTGTCATTGTCCTTAGTTTGCAGAAGTCTTAATGATCATCTTAACATATATGTATGCATGCATGAAAGGATGTGTCAAGCTGCGTGTCATTCTGAGAAACGGTGCTCTTCCTTTTTTCTTTCTCTCAGGCGCAATGGCAGCAGCAAACCCTCCGAGCGAGGCCAACACAATGTTCTTCTTGGCTTTGTTCAAAAAGCTCAGTGAGGAGAACACGGCGGGAAACATCTTCTTCTCCCCCTTCAGCATCTCCTCAGCCTTGGCCATGGTGATGCTGGGGGCCAAGGCGAACACAGCCACGCAAATGTCGGAGGTAAGAGGCACATGCGTTGTCATTTGTGCAAAGCAACAGTCCACCATATCGGCAAACATGTTGATGCAGGCACACATTCAAAGTGCAACTGGATGCGTACCGACCTGCGTGGCCGATGAGTTGTATTGCAACAGAAAAAAAGAGGTGTGGAATCAGGTTATGAATTGTATTACGTGCAGTATGAAATCCTCAAACAGAAAATTAAACCCCAAGTAATGTCATTGGTTTCCTATACCTCACGGTGGATTTAGTGAAGTTGAACAATTTGGAGTTGAGACAAAATGGAAACATTTGTTTGTGTCGCTTTAATTTAACAAAAGGGTTTAAAAAGTGCTTCTCTATTGTTTTGATTGATAGGAAAATGCAATCATATTTTATGACCACTTTAATATGGAGTAATCCAGGTAATTCCAAGGGTTTTCGGGCATTTTCTTGCAGCTCTATATGACCCCTGATTCTGGCTACAGGTCCTCTGCTTCACCAAGACAAAGCAACCGACGGAGGAAAATCAAACACAGATGATGATGCAGTCTCCAATGCAAATGCAAATTAGGACGCGAGAGCAGATGCGGATACAGCTGCAACACTCCAGCAAGCTGCCATTATATCTAAAAAAGGTGTGAATGCCAACTGTGATGGCTTTGGTTGTCTGACTTGTGACGGTAACTTCAGGCAGCTTCAGGCCGCCAAGAGGAGACATTCCTGTTCTGTGACTCTAAGTATGAGACTGTGTGTGTGCGTGTGTGTGTGTGTGTGTGTGTGTGTGTGATAATTAGGCTTGGCAACTAAACTGGGAAATAGTCAAATGGGGTAGAAAATCGATAGCTGTTGGATGGATGCCAATCCAGTGAACTATTCAACATTTTAGTTCAGTTTCCTGGACTTCTCTGTGCAAATTTTCTCAGCAACAAGTGATTGCACACAACATAGAACTACACACTCTACACACAAACCTGAAAATTTCATGAAAGTCTAATGAACTGGATTTAATTTTAAAATTCTGTGGTAACCTGACTTAAATGTGACCCGACTGAAACGTTTTTTTTTTTGAAGATACAAGCCATTGCAATTGCAATTTTTTTTTTGTTTATTTTGACTTGTGAGCCCAAATTCAAGGTACGAGCACCAGATACTGGCAGAGAAGTCAACTACATGCATCAAATTGGCAGATATTTATTGCTATACCTGTCAAACTAAAACGAGCTCAATGCTTACACACAATTTAAAACACCACAGACAGGCTAATGTGTGTAGCAAGACATTTGAACACAAACGTTATCGGCAAAAAATGTAAGACTTTTCATATTCATGTAGTCTTCATCATCTGCGGAAAAACTACTAATATTACTGCAGATTACGAAGTGGACGTGAAACTATGTGTGTATGTATACTGTAGTTGTATTATACTGACCCCTAATGGCCAGGGTGTACACACCACAATAAGCACTTCGTGGGGTTATTAACCGTTCATGACAGAGATCATTTAAAATGACACCGTGAGATCTTGGTTTCTGATGATTTTGGTTTCGCTTCTGCTCACATAATCGATGTATGCAAGCACAATACAGTTTTACAGTGTGGAAGGCATGATCCCCTGTTTGCTCACAGGTTCTGCAACGCGACGATGGTGAGGATGACGTCCACGCTCACTTTCAGCAACTTTTGACTAAATTCAACAAGACAAGCACTGGGTACACTATCAGTCTTGCCAACAGGCTGTATGGGGAGCAAACGTACACGTTTGATAAGGTATGTGTTCTGCTTCGTATCATTTGGAGTAAATTATTGATAGTATTTTGCACACAACGATTGGCTGCATTTTTATGCCCAAATGTAAATCACTTATAATGATAGCAGCAGGCACAAACCAATAAAAATATAGAGGCAACTGATTGATTTGTTATCTGGTATACTCGTCACACTTCTTTCTTTGAAAATAAGCACTGTACAGTAGAGCCAGAGAAAAACCTTTTGGGCAACAAAATATTGTTAAAATGAGAATTTGATTTTTTGTGCAGCGTTTCACGTTATTATTTTTATGGGACGTTCCAGGGCTTCCTTGAGGAAACCAGAAAGTACTACCAAGCCGAACTGGAGTCTGTGGATTTCAAGAATAATGCAGAAGCGGCCAGGGTCAACATTAACAACTGGGTGGAAGAGAAAACACAAGGTGCGGTGCCTTCATTATTGACATACATTTTATCGATTGCCAGGCAGGCACACGTATTGATTATTTTGTTGTTGTTGATGTTTTGGCAATACATCATGCCATTACATTGTTGTTCTCTTGTAACGGAATGTTGTTTTATGCATCTCTATATGCTCGAAAGATTTTTTTAACATTGTTTTGTATGGTAGTGTTGCTGTGATTATGTCCACATTTTTTTTTTTTTTGTTCAGAACGATACGAAGGAGTGGCCTATTTTTGAATTCTTTATACCCGTGCAGTTAGCTACCCCTGGCCTACATTATAACTTAAAATATAATTTACCATTTTACAACAATAATTTATCATTTAAAAAAAATAATCATCAACCTTCATCTGTCCGATTGTTTCATGTGCTTTGCGAGCTAGATTTTTCTTCAACATTCATGCATGTGCTGCATCCGCATTGAGACCTCATATACAAAATATAATGTTAAATGTCAATAACATTAACCAGGTAAAATCAAAGACCTGCTCAAGAAGCTGAAAAATGACACCAGGATGGTGCTGGTCAACGCCATCTATTTCAAGGGCAAATGGAACCAACAGTTCAAGGAGGATTTGACTGTTGAAGCGCCGTTTCGAGTCAATAAGGTATCATTTTTGTAACAATGAGGAACATGAATGTGCTTACTGAATCGTACACTCTACACCTGCAAGTTCATTTATTTTAGGCTGGCTCTGTATCAACAACATCCATCTAGCCATAGTTAAATTAAATACCAGCCTTTCTATGTGGTGTTTTCTGGTGTATAATCTAAATTATTAACTATTGTTGAAAACAACTATTAATAATGAACTACAAATTCTCAGATGTGTAGTTTTCAAATATATATTTTCACTTTTCATTTTGACTTTAGAATGATACTAAGCAAGTCATGATGATGCACCAGGACAGTAAATTCAACTTCAACACCATCCCAGAGTTAAACTGCCAGGTAAGAAAACAACTTTTGGTGTTTTTCTTTTCTTTCTTTCTTTTTCTTATCCATCGGTTCCCGACCAACATTGATTAAACCGATCAAAGTCTCATTCTCATAAACTCAATCAAGTTTGAGAACAAGAATGGAATGATGTCTTTGCAGATGGAAATATCAATTTTCTTTAAATGAACATGTACATAACTTTGGACAGGTCCTAGAAATGCCTTACGAAGGGAAGGATTTAAGCATGCTCATCTTCCTGCCCAATGAAATAGAGGATGACACAACAGGCTTGGAGAAGGTAAAACACATTAGAAAAAACAACAACACACAGAATATTAAACAACCTGAAATTTGGTTTGATAATTTTCACCTTGATAGTTGGAGCGGGAACTCACCTATGACACAATTATGAAGTCGACACAACCAGACAAGATGGAGATTGATGTTGAGGTCCAGGTGGGCCTGCCTCGATTCAAGATGGAGGTCACTTACAACTTGGAGGAAATCCTTATCAGCATGGGCATGGTGGATGCTTTCGACGGCGATAGGAGTGACTTCTCTGGTAAGAAGTGCATGAATCATGTCTGACGCATCATTCCCAAACTCACCAGACAAGAAAAACCGAAGTCCTTTTTGCATTGAAGCAATTAGTGGCGAATAAATACAAAAACAAACAAAACAGCACAAGGCAAAACTAAATGTTGCTGTCGCACAGAAACAAATAATTATTGTTGAGTGCCATGTATAGACATACTGTATCTGTTTTGTTTTTGTTTTAGGCATGTCTCCAGCCGATGACCTGGCATTATCAAAAGTCATCCATAAGGCTTTTGTAGAAGTAAATGAAGAGGGAACCGAAGCTGCTGCAGCCACTGCTGTCATTGTTGTGGAAATCACCTCAGTACGTGAACCTAAAGTCCCCAAAGTCTTCGTTGCTGACCACCCGTTCTTCTTCTTTATCCGACATAACCCTTCCAAGACAATATTGTTTGCTGGTCAATACACCACACCCGAGTGAGTTTGTACTGTGTATTTCTATAATGAATTCATTTAACAGTACTTTAGCTCTTTTATTTCATCATTTAATTCACCTCGCAGGATGAATAAAGTATCTCTTGATCCATCTGTTTGGGGAAGAAGCAACTAGGTTCCCTCCAAACTGTAACCACGAATCCTAATCGTGTCGTTTGTTCATCAGTCACATAATAGGAAGTGTCTCTGGGATTTTTTTTTTTTCTGGCGGTGGTAGTGAGAGAAGTTGAATAAATTTTCATGTGCAGCTTGTGTGTTTTGAGTCATTTGTATGCGCTAAAATCTCACAAGCAACCACATTTCACAAGCAATTCAATAATTTTAAATCACTGTAGAATTTTTACATGCAACATGATTTGATGTTTGTACATTATATTTCGTTAAATGCACTGCATTTCCTATAACACCTCTCTATCGATTTTCACATCTTCTTTCATTTCTTTTTATAAGAAATGAATCTGAAATACAGTGGCTTGCAAAATTATTCATAACTCCTTGAGCTCCATATTTTGTCAAACCACAAACGTAAATGTATTTCATTGGGATTTACTGATGCAGAGTGGAAAAACTGTTTTTCAACATTTTGTAAAAATCGGAATAATAATAACAATAATACAATACATGTTATTCTTGCAATTTCAAAAATGTAATCAAAATGCAATGATTTAAAAAAAGTGTGAAAATGTCGTTTATTTTTCCCTTTAGTTTTTGCGCCGAACATCAGACCAAAGTTTCACAGTCACCCCACAATTTTTTTAATTCAAATAATGATAACAGATCGCTATCTTTTCTTTACATATGTTTTCTGTCACTAATAAAAACAGTTTGGTTTTTGTCTTCGTTTTTTGGCAAGATTACAACGGAGTTTTGCGCCGGATTGTTTCCTTTCCGCTTCCGTGATTACGTCATCAATGCGGAAGCTGCTTTTCGGGCAGTTTCTGGGCGTGTCAGTGTAAAAAAAAAAAAAAAAAAAGATTGTATTTTAAACACTTGACTGCCGCCGTCTCTGCGTTTACTGACTGCTTGAAGAAACGCGTCTGTCAGTAAGTAATTCATTGACTTGTGAACGAATTTCTACTTTATTCACAGCAAGCGTTCTATTAGTTATATACATACTGTACAGTACTGTGCTGTAGCTCGAATTTTATCCAGCGAGTTGGTTAATTTTTCAACAAGTCATCAAAAATAAGACACGGTGTGAAAAGTGCAGGTAAATTTGCAGCTCTGAGGGAGTATGCACACGGTGCCATTGCAAAATGATCAGTTTATGCAAACTGCCATGTAAGTAAATATCAGCGGTGAATATCATATTCTCTCAACCTATGTATGATTGCGAACGAATACAGCAAGCAGCATTTGCCTCAAAGTCCATCTTTGAGTTTGAAGTCCTTTTATTTTTACATTGTTTCACCGTTGAACTCTTGCAGTGGTCTCCTCCCTTTTCTCCCCAGAACTGTATTTTGCCATGGATAAAATAATAGTGTGTGCTACCAGTAAAGTTTATCTCAGGTGAACATCTGGAGTCTAGACTAGAGTATTTAACAGAAAATCGCAACTGTATAACAAAAATCTTGAAATAATGGTTTGTTTTATGCATTTTTGTTGTTGTTTTTTTCAGACACATGGCGTCATCTACCCCTCTTTCCAAGGCTAACACCAACTTCTCTCTCGATTTGCTGAAAAAATTGGGCGATGATGACAAGACTGCAAATATCTTCCTTTCCCCCTTAAGCATCTCTTCAGCCCTGGCTATGGTGATGCTCGGATCGGGGGGCAACACAGCTGCACAGATGTCAGAGGTAGTAGACATGCACGCACACAAGCATGCAGATGCTTTTTTTACGATAAGACTGCAGTATTACAGGACTTGAACTAATATTAGCAATATATTCTTGCACTGGTCCTCTTGATTTTTATGGATGTTAAAGGATAGTATGCCAAATATTGGCAATGTTTCACTGTCAAAAAAACTCCCTCATTTCCTAATGTCACTATTGGCAGAATGTCGGCCCTGTCCTGAAAGCAACAGAGTGATCTATTCAGTAGCATTAGTTGGAATGTGGGTTGAAACTTGATTCTGCAAATACCAAGTGTGATTTTTACAAAAGGATTGCCAAAGTAAAGGCACACCCTGATCGCTCATAGGTGCTGGATGCACTGTTTATGCGTGTGTGTACATGACTGCAAACAGTGTTTAGAAACATTCGGCATTCAGCAGAGACTTGACACCTTTCATTAATTTAGAAATGTGTTTTTATTGGTGGTTGCAGTTGGCACTCATGTGTAATAGGGATGGACACAGAAATGCAAGCTCAGGGTTACATAAGTTTGCAGTGGCACAACCCCTTGTTTTGAGCAACATTTGCAACAGAATTAACCAGTCTCATCCAAACTCTCGTAAAAGTGCCTCTGGTGAACCCCAAATAAAATTCAGCTGTTGTAATTTTCTTGCATGACAAGAATCTGGCATCTGAGCATTTTAAACTTTGAATTTTATTTGACTGAAAAGAAAAATAACTCTCCTTTTGACACCTTTGCAAAATGTGAATGGCAAACAGCAAAAAAATAATGCTAGCTCTATAAGAAGCGTATGAACAGTTAGTGGACCAATAGCTGAATTAATGATTATAGTTATGAAACAGAGTTGAACGAAATATTTGTGGGGCTGCAGACCTAAATACTACACAAACCTATCCGGAGGAATTTCATACCTTGCAACTTTGCGGAAGAATTGAATTATCATACCTTGCACGCGCATCTTGATATCTAACTCAATGAACAATACCACTTGCACCCCGCAGGTTCTCAATTTCACTGAGCGAGAGGCACGGCCAGAGCCAATGCAAATGCAAATGCAACAAGTCCAGTCCATGTTTCTGCCAAAGGTGGTAACATATACAAAGCAACTAGAATATTGGAAGCATGTGGAACACTTTACTAACTGCTGGCCTGGGTGGTGTTGGTTGAAACAGGGTGAATCCGTAGAGATAGGAAAGCACTGCTTGTCGGTCAGTCTTGCATAAGGGAGCAATTTCATTTGTCATACGTTATACTTTGGCTTTTCCAGGGCTCCACACCCAATGGTGTTGCGTAATGTGAAAGAGTGAGACACTATCTTTTTCTTTCATGGTTTCTTCCTGGTGTGGCTGCTTAGAACTACATTTTGGTGAGAAACATATTTCTGGGTTTTAACAATTGCACCATACACACACACACACACAAAAAAAAAAAAAAAAAACGTTGATAGTTTTGTTAGGAGGGATTCATTCGCCACGAAAGAAGACCCACTTCAGGAAGTTGAGGTAAATGCATGCAGGCCCGTGCTTTGCCAGCTCCTCTGGGCAGCATTCCTCAGCTAATTGATAGTTTTCCATCCATGCATCCATCCATCCATCCATCCATTTTCTGATCCGCTTATCCTCACAAGGGTCGCGGGGCTGAAGCCTATCACAGCTGTCTTTGGGCAATAGGCGGGGGACACCCTGAACTGGTCTCCAGTCAATCGCAGGATTGATCGTTGTCCTCATTGTTTATTCGCAAAGTGCCCGTTTCGGAATCTAGCAGTATGTACTGTGCAAAGGGGTCTAACTCACAAATATAATGCTTTTGAAAACCCTCCCCCCATGTACACGAGGGCTTAAAAAGCAAAAATAACAACTTGGTGGTGGCATTGCATGTGCTTGTATCTGTGTCAAGGTTTCCTATCTTTTCATCTCTAACCATTGATTTTGATCGTGTTTGCAGGTCAACGTAGGTACATGGCTATTCACTTATTAATTGGACAATCACCCATGTTACTGTCTGACCCGTTGCTCTGTTGGTCCACAGTGTCTGCAAACCAAAGGCCAGGATGAAGTTCATGCCAGCTTTGCCAAACTGCTGGCTGAGCTGAACAAACCAGACGCGCAGTACGCCCTCAGTGTTGCCAACAGACTGTACGGGGAGCAGTCTTACCAGTTTGTTGAGGTATGTGTCGCAGCCTGCAGCTCCTTCTTGAAGAAGTCAGGTTTTGTTCATGCAAATGTGAGTGAAAGGGAATAATATATAATAATAAGAGTTACAGACCCAAATCTTACTTTTTATTTTTTTTTTTGGGTGTGTGTGTGTGTGTGTGTGTGTGAGTGAATGAAGGAAGGAAGAGGGAGGTGACTCCCAGCCAAACATTCCTCTTCTATTACGTTAACAAATGTGCACAATTTAATAATGGCTCTGTGACAGTCAAAATTGTGCATCGTCTCTGTCAGGGCGGCATTCTTGATACAGGCCTTTGGACTGGATCTCGATAGAGTTTGCAAGTGTCCCGAATAAAATTGGTATTGTCATTAATGGTCATCATGGTGATAAAAATAAAACAAAAAATCTTCATGGTTTCAGCGTTTCCTAGCAGAAACAAGGAAGCACTACAAAGCTGAGCTGGAGTCTGTGGACTTTATCGGTAACCATGAGGGAGCCAGGCTCAACATCAACCAATGGGTCGAGAAGGAGACACAAGGTGGAGTTTACACACACTTACACAGACTAACTCTTTCCTCTTGATTAATCTTTCTTTTACCCCTTTATCGATTACCTAAAAAAAGGAGTAGTACACACTGTTGAACTCACCGGGTGCCACTGTGTGGCCCTTCTCATTGTCGCTTACCAGGTAAAATTAAGGATGTACTGGTCCAGGGTGTGTTGGACAGCATGACCAGGCTGGTGCTGGTCAATGCCATCTACTTTAAAGGCAACTGGGACAAAAAATTTAAGGAGACCTCAACACAGGATGCCAAATTTAGGATCAGCAAGGTAACGCACATTCTGGAGATGAAATACTGACTCAGTTAGCAGAAAAATGGGAACTTATTTGAAACTGTTGTGAGCTGCAATGTTTTCTTTTCCTTCCTGGTTTCTTTGTTGTGCTCCACACCTCCACCCATTTGTTAAAAGCCTAGTACATACACAAGGACATAAAATTCATTCACTCATCGGAGTTGGAACTTCACAAAGTGGCAGAGTTGGGGTCAGACGTGTCAAATTTCACCTTGCATAATAGTAGGCGCGCCCATGTGGACAAACCACTGATTTAGTCTGACACAATGGAACAAAAAGGAGGATGAACTTTGCTCTGAGTTGTTTGAACAGTTTCAACAACCAAGGCTCATGCGCAAAAAAAAAAAAAAAAGGAACTAGTGCAGCAAAATTGCACTGATATTTAGTGACAGTATTTGCATTCAAAAAACAATCCGATTCATTGGGAAAAATAAATGGACATTTTTCAGTAAGCAGCCACTGAATTTATTTTTTATATTAATTTAGTTCATTGTTGTCTCCTCAAGAGCAAAATGGTAACTACAAGACGGGGCATGTGATAACTCATGATCTTCATTGCTGTTCTTTTTAGAATGACACCAAACCAGTGAAGATGATGCACCAGAAATCCAAATTCCCCCTCACCTTCATTCCTGATATCAACTGCCAGGTACTATGATCTTTTTCCACCCAAAACAACAACACAGACGTTTCATACTATCTTTGTGGCAATTAAAGCAAAACACACATAGTGAAAAAACAAACAAACAAACAAAAATTTCTCTTGAGCAGGTCTTGGAGATGCCTTATGTAGGGAAGGAGCTCAGCATGCTCATCTTTCTACCCACTGATATAAACGACAATTCAACGGGTCTGAGTGAGGTAAGACACACAAAGCTGTTCGCTTTGTGATGAACAGATTTAAACTTGATTTCACATTGATCACAGATAGAAAAGAACCTGACCTATAACAACTTCATGGAGTGGACCCGTCCTGATATGATGGATGTAGTCGAGGTCCAGGTTGGCCTACCTCGATTCAAGATGGAGGAGAAGTATGACATGAAGAATGTCTTGGTCAGCATGGGAATGGTGGATGCCTTCGACAGGGGCAGAAGTGATTTTTCTGGTAGGACTTGTGCCTGGAAAATCAGAATCACTGTCACGATCCAAAAACTGGCATTTAATTATGATCTCTGGTCTGATCCTTTGTAGTCCTGCTTAAAACATAAACGGCAGTGCCTTCAGATGTCCCCATTTAGAGGAATTTACCTTCAGAGGCTGTTGGGGACCTTACATCCATTTGCAATGTTGGATTGAACCCAAGCCTAAACCACATAAAATATGTTCTCTGTTGTGACTGTCTTTCTCTTCTGTTTTCAGGCATGTCACCTGCCAATGACCTGGTCTTGTCAAAATTCGTCCACAAGGCTTTTGTCGAGGTGAACGAGGAGGGAACCGAGGCTGCCGCCGCGTCTGTTGCCATCATGATGTTGCGCTGTGCTCCGATAACACCCAGATTCATCGCGGACCACCCCTTCCTCTTCTTCATTCGACACAACGCGTCAATGAGTGTCCTTTTTGCTGGCCGATATTGCTCCCCTGTTTGAGCATTTTCGTGCTTCACTGCAAACTTTTTAATCTCTAGCATGGTTCCCTGCTTAAAAAAAAAAACAAAAACAAAAAAAAAACAGTATGGACCAGCATGGGTTTTAATTTTTTTTGTTTTGCGCTGGGCTTGCTGGTGTTACCAGCAAGATTAGCAGCAAAAGCATAACAAAACAGCCAATATTCTAACAGCCGAGCCTTTGGTGCCAGGTGCCTTCCACTACCGTTCTGTACTGCGTATACTTTGCACATATTCTAAATTCAACCTTCCTAGAGCGTTAGGAAAACAAATTTTATTGTCTAATCCCCATCACTCCATTCATTGTATGAAACCAAAGAGAATAATGAGATAAAGATACATTATCAGCACCTGTGTGATGTTGTAATCCCTATTAGGAATGTACACTGCTGTACAGTTTGCAATAATTAACTAAAGTAAACATGGAAATATCAACCGCTCAACTATTCTATATTGTCGATACATAATCCTTTATGTATGCAATAAAAGTCTGTTTGAAAACACAAAATACCTACTGTTGTCATTTACACACAATTTATACGTTTACCAGTGTTGGTTTTTCAAAAATGTACTTCTACTTCGAGTACAATACTGTTGTGAACTGAAACGCCGTTTCCCTCCTGAACACATGGGGGCGCTCAAAACGTAACGAGGGTTAGTCCAAGCCTATGATGTCACTTCTGCTTTATTTCCGGAAACAAATGTTTGGTGAAAAATTCGAGAATGTTAACATGCAACGTGACCGCAAAATGTCCATCGAGTCGTGTGCAATTTAATAAGACACCATATGGTCCACTAGTTGGGCACTGTTTGGCTATCGTACCGAGCATATGCGAATGTCGAGCACCGTACGCACTTTCTGTTTAGAAGCGATGGAGAGGCTAATATCCAAACTGACAGAGAAACATGTTCTCTTCACGGCTTCTTTTGCAATGCGTCTTGCCTTGGTCGCTTACGGAGATTTCCACGACAGGACCATGGTAGTGAAATACACTGACATTGACTATCACGTCTTCACGGATGCTGCGAGGTTCACTACTAAGGTAGCCTTATATTCTGTCACAGTTTTAGATGGGATTGTTAGGGCAATATGATTATACTGCACACAGATATAATAGTTGTGTCTTACATGCAGAATAGATTTGTTTACGTCTCCATTCCCATGCAGTCCTTTGTCTCACTTTTTTTCTATATAAACTAAAAACATTTAAAAAAATATTCTACAAAAGGGCACTCTAATTTTGGAATACAAAGCATTTTAGAATGACATTAATTCTTTGCTATTCTGCTGTCATCATTCTAATACAGTACATGATAAATCAAATGTGTTCCCAGAGCGAGTCCCCGTACAACAGAGCAACCTATCGATACACGCCTCTGTTGGCCTGGCTGCTGACTCCGAACATTTATATCCACATGGTGTTTGGCAAGCTCTTTTTCATCCTATGTGATGTGCTGTCCGGACTGCTGATCTACAGAATCCTTTGCCTACGAGGTCTTGGCTCTGAGGTGTGTTTACTGGCAGTATGTATGCGGAAAATGATCATGAGCATAACAATTTTGATAACGTCTATGATCAAAATAAGTGAGACCAGTGAACCCATTTGCCACAGAAGATGTGTTTCAGAAAGCCTCAATAGAGACAGACCATTTTAAAAAGTATTCACAAGTCACATGCTTTTAACACATTTCAACTAAAGACAATACACGTTTTAAAAGTAAAAGTCTGTTCTCACTCTTTTGCCGTAAAATTGAAAATGAAAAATGACTCTCTTGCACAGTTCTCCAAATAAGCATCAAAGCATGCTTGCTTCAGACTGTTTCTCACTGTTGACTGTGAAACTGACACATAAAACAAAACCAAATTAGAAGTGCTCCATTTAAACACAGAAATAACCCCTTAATCTGACTAGATCTGAATAACCTCACCGATAGTCAACTTTTGAGGTGTTACAATGTGTTTCTTATTTTGGCGGATTTGATGAACAGACGGCACGACGGGTTTGTTCACTGTGGCTGCTCAACCCCCTGCCAATGGGAGTTTCCAGCCGAGGGAATGCAGAGTCCATCCTGGCCGCTTTGGTGCTGGCGACTCTTCTCTGTATAGAGGGTAACTTTATGGATATACACTTCAGAAAATTGGTGGATGGGTCGTGTTCAGATTGACGAATCACATCTCATTTGTCTTCATACCCAGTGCTTCATAAAAAATAGTTTCTGTCTTCTGTGTCATAGGTCGACGCATGACGTGGGCAGCACTGCTCTATGGCCTGTCTGTTCATATGAAGATCTACCCCATCACATATGCGCTACCTATTGTTCTGACTCTTCGCACGCCATACATTAAAAGAGACCAAAATAAGTGGAGGAGCGTAATTGACTTCTTGGGAAGTTTCTTCAACAGGGAGTTGTTCTCTTTCGCAAGTGTGGCCGGAGGTCTTTTTTGTGGTCTCACAGCACTTTTCTATCACATGTAAGAGCAACAACCAAAGTGATGTAAAATGGTGGTCAGGCATGTCATACAAAAAAGTTGTTCACCGTTATTAATACAAAAAGCTCCATCATAGTGCTTATGTTCACATATTTTCACTGTTATCATACCGAGAGACATTTATTTTTCCTCTCCTGGCTCAATAGCCCAACCAAAATTTTAGAAGCACTCTTCAGTATGTTGTTGATTCTAGGGAGTACTGTACATTCGTATTCTATAAATAATTCAAATCACAGCTGCATGGGTGTACCTCAAGTACAGATGAACTTGTTTCAGGTATGGCTGGGCATTCCTTCACGAGACGTACTTGTATCATCTAACCAGAAGAGATATTCGGCATAACTTCTCTCCATACTTCTACATGCTCTACCTTACTGCAGGTATTTATTAATCTGGCATGAATTCATTTGAAACGAAACACAAAAAGTTCGTGAGGTGAAATTTCAGGACCCAAAATGCACGATAACCTTTACCGGTGAAGTTAGAATGATTTGACCCTCTTTAAACATTTTGAATGACTGTTTCATGTTCCAGTACTTTTTGCACAAGTTGTGCATCAGCAAGGAGCTGAACGGCAAAATTAAGAGGAAGTTGTGCAAAACGTGCTGCAACATTGAACAGTTAATTTTTTTTTTCGGAGGGGGGCAATTAAACAGTTGTTATGTTTTGCAGACAGCAAGTGGAGCCAGTGGCTTGGGCTGGCCGCATTCCTTCCACAGTTAATGCTCCTGTTGGTAACGTCATGGGCTTTTCATCGTGACCTGACCTTTTGCTGTTTCCTACACACGGCCATCTTTGTCACTTTCAACAAAGTCTGCACATCACAGGTATAGAGGTCAAACTTATGACCATATGTCTTGGGGGCGGGGCTTGATATATTCCCGCTGTCTTATTAAATTTCCTTGTTTCCAGAGTAGCAAAGACTGCATGATATATGCATGACTTTTTTTGTGTGTGTGTGTGTGTGTGTGTGTGTGTGTGTGTGTGTGTGTGTGTGTGTGTGTGTGTAGTACTTCCTATGGTACCTGAGTCTCCTTCCTCTGGTCATTCCTTATTTGAGTCTCTCGATGAAACAAGGATTGGGACTTCTGCTCCTCTGGTTTGCTGGACAGGTAAATATTTAGATTATTAAATGTCTGTCGGAGTTTTTTTCATTTACTCAACTGAACAGTGTACCAACCTAATGAATTAGTTTGGTTATAAAATGCATGGGTTAACTAAAAGCTATTTTTAATATCTTCTCATCATTAGGCTGTATGGTTGGTCCCGGCTTATTTCCTGGAGTTTGAGGGCTACAACACCTTCCTGTTCATCTGGTTCGCCGGACTGCTCTTTCTGATCGTTAACTGCTTCATCTTGGTGCAGCTCATTGTGCATTATGAGCCAAAAGTGAATGCGAAGAGACGGAAGTTTGAATAACTACACGTAAGTGTGCAAGAAGATTTCACTGTGACTGGAGCTTCACTATGAGAACATGTTTTTGCTTGTTTTCTCATCTAAATTATGTCTTATTCGAAAATCGCAAAAATTGTATGTGCACATAAAAAAAAAAAAAATCCAATCGGTAACGTCCATCCAAACCTTAAACTGTCCTGGAATTACATATTCAGTCTGTGTGTGTGTGTGTGTGTGTGTGTGTGTGTGTGTGTGTGTGTGTGTGTGCGTGCGTGTGTGTGTGTGTTTGTTAAAAACAATTCCAAAAATGTGACCACAAGTAGGGTATTTGAGATCTATGCAATGCGCACCCTTGTCCACTAGGCGGCAGCCTTTGTTTGCGGATTGGTCGCATATCCTGACGTAACCTCCGGTAAACACTCCTTCAGGTGTGAGACCCACGAAAACACCAATTGATTGCAGCGGCTCCTTCTTACCATACACATGCTCATAAACCTGACATGCAAAGGCTGCTCTGGTGTGCATGTAGCATCCCTGCACCATCGAGCACTTACATCGTAAGAGTCATTAAAACAAAACCAAAAAAAAAAAACGCATCATGTTTGTCATTATCGTATTGTTTTTTTTTTTTTTTTTGCTGCATGTTTAAGATGTCTGCCTCCACCAACACAATGATTCAAATGATCGTTGTCAGGCTTCTGCAGAGCTTGTTGATGAGCCTATCGTTGCCATCAAAAATAAAAGAAATGGCCCACTTTTCCCCAACCTATTGCCATCGTTAGTTTCTTTCATTGGTCGAAACCAACGCCGACATGACCAAATGTGTCGCGTGCCGTTGAGACAAAACGTAGCGGTCCGTGTTCATGAGTTTACAGGTTTGTTTGGGGGTTGGTGGATTGCGTGACGGTCCCCCATATGTTGAGTCGGCTGTGTGTATATGTGCATGTTAATATGCATAGGCGTACATGTCATGTCTGTGACATACCCTCAAGGATTCGCCTCATTGTCATCAGGGAGAGAGGGGGATGTTGTTGTGTCTGTGGATATGATGTGCATTGCTACATCTGCCTATATGCATACGTGTGTGCGTGTGAGAGAGCGAGAGAGAGATACACACACAAACACAGGGAGTGGGTGTGACCAATTAGGACAAATGGTGTGCAAAGCAGCAAAGAGTGGGCATGAACAGTCACGCAACCTTGCATGGTATGGGATTATAGGTCTCGGACTACACACACAAACGTATACAGTCGACAACAAGCATCACACACTTTGCCTTAACACGTTTTGCTCCTCTCTCTTGATTGGTCTTTGCCACTCCTCTCCCATGCTTCTCCTACCCCCCCATCATCCCTGTTTAGAACCAGTGTCGTTGGGTTGGCGTGATGTATGGACGGTTGCGTGCCTTATTATAAAACATTTAAACTTAGCCTTTTAGCACCCCCCTCGCCCCGCACGCCTTTCTTAATCACATCAGTAAATTAAAGTCAAACAAAAACCTACAAGTGATATTTGCATGCTCGTTTCTCCCTCATAAAGGCGACTGTGTTGCATATGTAGTCCATGTGATACACACGGCGGTGTTTGTTTCGTAACATATAAAAAAGGGCTCATTCATGCTAAAGAGTGTCTTCGGGAATGCAGTCAGTTTAGCGGAGAATAATGTGTCAGAATGAGTTTGGTATCATGTCACTTTTACTATTCCACTTCTGTTTCTTCATGCCAAGCGACATGTAATAAAGCTACCAATTCAACATTTTTTTTTCCATACTGGGCATGACCAGCCTCTCAGTATTACCAAGAATGGATGCCTGAAAGAGTTTTTGTTCATCCAAACGTTTTCCCTTTGAAGGCCACATCCAGAAAACTGTCCAGTAATGACATCTCAATGGGTAACACAGATTTGACATACGAGTAAATGAAGCCCGACAAGGATAAGACTGAAGTAACAAAACAAAACAAAAACATGACACAAGACAGTTTCAACTTGTTGAATCCAAATTTCAAACTTTGATCACTCTGGTCATCCGTCTGATTTTCAAAACGGCGGTACGGTTGAACGCCTGGGAATCTCAGAAACGTTGTCTACCTGTTACTTAATCCGCATGCAGTACGAGCATGCTGATGACATTTCAACAGTGACGTGTGCACTTCCTGTGACCAGCACAGACATGTTACTTACTCCCCTAAGTTACATTTACACCTCATATATATATACACATACACACACACACACACACACACACACACACACACACACACACACACGCAGAAGAGTCTTTGAAGCCGTCATATACAGGACAACTTAACAGCTCATTTATCAGACAGATACGTGGCTACAGATACTCCGTATTGTCTTCCGGCCACTATTCATTATTGATAGAGGCACAAATCTGAAGAATGAGACCACATTTCGCCAACTTGAAAAATTCAAAAGCCACTAAATAGGCCAGAGCTGGAACTAAAGAGTTTCTTTCATGGGAAGACATGATTGAATTTGTAAAAGTGCTGTTCATGCCTCCATGCAAGACGAGGTTTGATGTGTATTGCATGTAAAACTACTGCATGTGTGCATTTAATGTCATCATATGAAAATTTGATTTGAATACTTATTTGTTTGAAAAATATACAGCGGACCCCCCCTCCCTTCACCCCCATGAAAATGTGTAATTCATGAATACATTAATGAGTCTTTGCATCAAGAAAAGTTTTCGGGCCCCCTTCTTGGAAGAAATCTTGCCCATGGCTGATAAAACCGCATTTATAGTGGTGATCACTCCAAGTGCATCGTGGGCCGCCATTTCCAAGCTCATAGTCGTCTGTCCAGCCAGCGATGGTATTTCTCATTATGCCTTAGCATGAAGCGAGCGGCCTTTTGTGAGACGAAATTAAATGATTTGGTTCAACATTTTGGTGTTGAGGGCGGCACGGCAGTCGACTGGTTAGCACGCCCGCCTCACAGTGCAGCGGTGCAGGGTTCGATTCCAGCTCCGGCCTTCCTGTGTGGAGTTTGCATGTTCTCCTCGTGCCTGCGTGGGTTTTCTCCGGGTTCTCCTGTTTCCTCCCACATTCCTCTATAGCATTATTAATTCCACCACTTGTATTGTCTATCTTGCGATTTTGTTAAAATTTTGCCCTAATTGTTACATGTTGCAAATTGAACATGTCGAACCACAAATCATATCTCAGTTTAAAAGAACAAGACAGCCGCCATGCTTTTCCATATAAAGAAGTCTTTTAATAGATAAGTCTCATTTGCAAAAACACGTAGAAACATTGGAAGACATTGCATATTTACACCGTGTTCACTACTTTGCAGCTACCTACTCAATGGAACAAGTAGGGCATTTTCTTTTTCTCTTTAACAGTTATCAAAATGGTAGCAAGAAAATGCCACATGGATTGACCTTACACAAAGAGAAAAGCCTTCAAACTGCAGCTTTTAAATTAGACACTTTTGCCTTACAATAAATATGAATCATCAAACATTTATTGAAATGAGCACACACATTGAGCAAGACGAATTCAGAACAGTGACACAATGTACACGTGTATGTGTGTTTACTAATTCAAAGAAAAACAATAAGAATAACTTCAACTGAACTACTCTCAGTAGTGCAATTTTTGAAGCTACCACAGCAACGCCACCGAACTGGGGCTGTGACGTCGCGTTAATTTGGTGCTTTTCGTTTCATTGTGCAAAAACATGGATTGTGAAGACCACGTCTGTTGTCTGACCGAACCACATCATCAACAGGAAAGGAAAAAAAAAAGATTGTGTCAAGTCTGCAATGAAATGCTGATCTTCAGTGAACACTAAACTGTACAACGTAAGTTGTGACATGAAAATATGAAACGATAACATTTCTAAGGTCAAGATGCTACTGTGCGCTTTGACAGAAGACTAAAATGTCAACAACAGAGGACCTGCTCCTTCACTTGAAACTAACTTGAGTTCAGAAAACTTCCACCATTGACAATGTGCTTGTTGAGCCCTTTCGCCGTCTTTTTTGACACTCGCAGTGACCATCACGTGTTCAATGACGGATGTTTTGAAAAGGGTGCCAATTAGCACCCTTTAACTCAGAGCCAAATTACCGTTTTGTGTTTATGGCTTTTCTAATGCACTTCAATCCTACCAATAGGCAGTTTTATTTGTTAACCAAGTGTAGTGAAAATTATTTAAAGCTGTAACAGAATTCCACTTTCACATGTTTTGGTCAGTCAACTGCAAATTGCATCATGTAGAGTCAACAATACTGTCGGGTTCCTGTTTTGTGGGATGCTGGTCCACTTTTCATTTGTTTGGATTTGGAAACTGACACTGTTAAAAAAAAAATGGTGGGGGGGCTAAAACAGTCATTTAATTAAGGTGGAACAACTTAATTAAATGACTGTTTCAGCATGACTTGAAATATTTAGTTGAATAGCTCAACGTAAAATTTTTATCAAAGTTCGTATTCCGTGAAATTTTGACCTCACTTTTTTATTATTATTTTTTTAACAGTGAGTTTTTTTGTTTTACAGTGTCCAGCAGGCTAGTGTGTGACAAATGCCTACTAGTTGGAACTAGTAATGTTACGAGTACACCGCAGTAGTTTACTAGTTCGATTCTTTTCCATGGGAAGAGGGTGTAAATGTAAACAAAGTCGACCAGCATCTCAGAAATGATTGCGTTTGACCTCAGAGGTCCCGCTTAATATTTTGGAACTATTCTCCAATGATCCAACATGTATTAACTGCATGTCTTTGCAAGCTTGTGTAGCGCGTTGCTGTAATGCATATAAGCAAACCCAGTGTTCTTCATTTGTGGGCGATTTGTAGTTAAAGTGCTAAAACATGCAAAACTACCACTAAGGTCCAGAGATCTTCGAGCACATTCGGATAGAAAAACAGAGGTGAATGGTGGCAGAGGTGAGTCATCTGCTGCGGACCGAATCCAAATTGGTTGACAACATCACAGCGAAAACGTCAAACAATGGGTATGCACGACACGTGAAATAAATGGTACGTCTGGACATTATCCGACTCATTGTCACTAAATGCCAAAGTGCTTGGAAAACCTGCAAAGGATAAAAAGTCATCAATTGGATTCAGTTTTTGATTGTCACAACACTAACACTTAGAACCTGAGCCTCGCTTGTCACCTCTTCGGCAAATGGAAGAATGTTGACGTTTTGCATTTTATGCTGGTATGTGTCAGACAACAGGAACACTACACTACATTTGTGTGTGTGTGCGCGTGTGTGTGTGTGTGTGTGTGTGTGTGTGTGTGTGTGTGTGTGTGTGTGTGTGTGTGTGTGTGTGGTCAATGAGAGCGGGTGATGCGCAACTCACTTTTTTAGGGCATATAAACGTAAGGGCTGGATTTGTGATGCCCCGTGCTCACACATGACATAATGTTCCTTGGAGCAACCATCATGGGCTGGCTCATGTCATGGCCGCCCTCAGACCACGGCGGGGAGTCAATGGGCTCCCTTTTGATGGAATGGATCAGCCCGTGACCTTTGAACTCGTAAGTGCCGTGCTTGTCAAAGTCCTGGTGCATGTAGGGCTTTTGAGGCTCCTGTTGGTAGACGTGAGAGTCAATGAGGTTGACCGATTGATTACTGCACTGGGAGTGAGAGAGTCTATGGGGGCTAAACTGACTGTTGTCGTTGTTATTAGCCAAGTCTTTGTCACATTTTAACAAACGTCCGCTGTTGTTCACTGCATAGTTCTGATAGTTGCCGCTGTTGTACGGTGGGCTGATCCCCGCTTTGCCCCGTTGACAGGGCGAGTACTGCAGATCGTAGTAATCCGCCTCGGATTTGAGCTGGACGCCGGTGCTCTGATCGTACGCCCCGTTACCATAGCGACGGTCGATCGCGTCCGGATCCCGATGCGCCCAGGGTCGCCCGAACGGATCGCAGCCGTTCTCCGAGTCGGAGTCGTGCTCTACTTTGATAGGCGGCATCAAATGGCCGTCGTAGCATTCGCCGTAGCCGTTCTCACTCTTGACTAAATCCACGCAGTAGGCGTCCGGGTCCGCGGGAATCTGCAGGCTCCCATAGAGTTTCGACACAAACACCTCGCCATTCCTGCCGCTATGGCAGCTCGGGGAAAGGCGGTATGGCTTCCCGTATTGGCCGGCCTTGTTTAAGCGGTTAGTTGGGATGTAGCCAACCCCTTGGCCCGCTCTGAGGTGCCCCGAGTTTGGTCGCAGGGGCCAAGCGCTCCCCAGGCCCGGACCGAGGCCCTTATGGGAAGACATTGATGACTTGCAGAAATTGAGGGGCTCTTCCTGGTTGTAGTAGCCATCAGGGCGGAACTTGAGGTTATCTTTGGTGAGTGGGGTCCAGGGAGTGTGCTGGCCCCTCTGGGTGCCAACAGCGGCTGGACAGGAGAGCAGGAGAGGGTCTGTTACGTCGCCCATTCCTCCACTGAAGGAATGCCTTCGGAGGTGTTCCCCTCGATCTCTGTAAGGCAGGACAGCATGAAAAATACGTTTAAAGAGTAAAGGATGAAATACAATTCAACACAAACAAGGCACAACACAAGGACCTGCTGTCAGCCACGGCTCACCCCAAGACACTTGCACGCTGTAGCTTGAGACAACTTGCCAACCTCCCTCCACCCCACAAGGCCCCGCCTCTTAAAGGCACATATCTAACACACAGATACTCCAGTATGTACGGTATAAAAATAGATTTTTTTAAATATCGTCTTCTCTCGATTCTCTCTTGGAATCAGAAGAAAAATCATTCCGTAAAAATAATCCAAGTATCTTTTTTGGCCTCCGACACTGTGACTTGGTGTCACTCTCAACCAAAACGTGAATGACTCAAAGGACAAATGCCGAATTTTAGTTCACAGAAGTTCACTGAGAGAGTCATTCAAAATGTGACTCATCTTTTCCGAGAGTCGTGTCGGAAAATTGAAAACAGAATAAACATCCTCAACCACTAGATCAGTGATGGCCAGGCGTGCATGTTTGTGGATTAATGCAGTACAATCTAATAAACAGAATCAAATTCTCAACTTATCTGGAAGAAGCTATTTTACATTTTACATGTTTTACATTTGCAATAATTTGCATTCTTACTGTTGGAAGTAGTAAGCTATCGTTCGACCTCTATCATGCTACCGGTTGTCCGCTAGCATAATATTGTTAGCATACTAGTGCATTAGCAGGCCCATGTAGTGAATTTTAACAAGCGTATATGGCAAATGGGGGTTATTTTTTATTTGTGTATATGTTTATGTTGTCTATGAGAATTATATTGCGCTATTTAATTCCTTAATATTATGTTTTCTGTATATTTGTCCAGTTTTTCGTGCATGCTTAATAATAAACGGTCTTGTAATTTTGACTGGAGAGAGCAACACATTTTGAAATGGGCAAATTCTTGTGGGAGGTTCATGTTTGATCCATCCATTTTCTGTACCACTTGTCCACATGGTGACGCATCATGGACTGTTCAACAATGAAACTTTGTAATTATAAAGTCATCTGCATTGAAGCAGGGGACTTCAGGCATTAACAAGATTATGTCACAAAGACACGATGACCTTTAGCTTGAGCATACGTTGCAAATTGTGTTATTTTACAGGAGTCAAAATAATTTGCCAGAATGTATTTAAAAAAAAATAAAAAATCAGGATATGTGAAAGTGGAGCTCGGACATCAAGTTAGTGTTGAAAGCTTGACCTTTAATTCCAACACCCCCGCTAAGATACTCATTGGTCATATTAATAAACAGCATGAAGCCCTTTGAATGTTCAAATGTACACTTGGGTAACTCTTACCCGTGCTCTAGTGCCGAGATAATCCCTCCTCCGCTCTTGTTCTTTCCTCGCATTAACATGTTCTTCATTTTCATTTCGGTAATGGAGGGCAGTAAAAGGGGTACAGCTATGCAGAAGAGAGCCAGCTGGGGAGGAAGCGGAGCCCCGGAGGCGGACTTCTTTTTCTGTCCTTGGAGAAACTTCAGCCGACCCTGAAACTGCATTGTCTGGAGGCAGGAGACAGGAAGGATTTAGCGGTTTGAACATCAGAGCACATCTAAAAGTCATACTTTTAGGCAGGTCTATGATTATGTGCTTCTTTTGCATTGATCATCATTATGAGGGCAGCAGTGTCTCAGTCTGTAAGGACTACGCAATAAGGACTTTCTTGTGGAGGTTCAAAATAAAATGGAAATTGGAATGATTTCCAGGTTCAAATTAATGGCAGCACAGACCTTTCAAGTTTTTTTTCTGCTTATAAAGGAATGGTCTTCTTCTGCTACTGGATACTGCAAGCATAATATGGCTGCAGTGTCGTGTTTTGATCGTTTGTCCGGTGGTTAGTTAGTCAAAGGGAACATGTGTTGATGTCTTGCTGCAAGTCGGCCAGTACAAAGAATAATGGGAAATGGCATTCTCCGTGTACCACAAAGGAGCCTACACACAACCAAACTGCCAAATCTCATCCCAGAAAAAAAAAAAAAGTTTGGTTTGTTTATTTGGTTGTTTGTTTTTAAGTCAAAATGGAAACATGGTTTGCATTTACAATAGGCTTGTGAGATTGTCCAATTTTTTCATCTGAGTGAAGTCCGCATCATCCAAACTTTGCGAGCAGGAAACTTGAACTGTGATGCAATACCGGGGTTTTTTTTTTCTGTTCCAACAGTAGATTAGGAATTTCCAACTTTCCAGTTTTATGGAATGCATTTTGAGATGTTCCTGGGCAGTATCAACATGGTGGCGCAGTCAGACTGGATGGACCATCCACAGAGCTTTACCGCTACCGTGGCTCTAGTCAACCACTGTTGGGAATACAATTCATTTTCAAGTCTTGCGATGATTGATCACGCATGACTCATTTGTGTCTTTGCTGCAATCATTTGGACTGATGAGGAAAACATTCCTAAACATTGGCTCACCGTAGCGCTCCAAATGTTTCCAGTACAGAAAATTGCCATGGAGAGTTTCCATTGTGTGCCAATGTCAACCAGAATGGACTTGGTAAACTCTGCTGACCCTGATAAAATGGTCTAAAGCCATATTCTGACCTCCAGCACTTTTCCACTGCATCTCCATTTCAAGGCTATGAGATACAACATGAACCGGTGTCTTGAAGAAGCCATCGCCGTGTCTACCCACTGATCTAAACTCTTAGCTCGGCAATTCTACATTACAGCAAACGAACAGACGTCGGTAAAAGAACATTTTCTGCTGCAGATGCATCATATTATTTTTATTCACCTGAATCTCATCCAGGAGCGTTTTTATGACTGGGTTTGCGAGTTACCGTGCAGTTTAGCAGGCGCGGTGCTTCGTGTCACTCACCAGGAATCCAGATGTGCTGTCCAACAGGCATCGGACCCTTGCTATGAAACATCTGTTGAGAAAGCAGGAGAGCTCAGGAGGAATGCCCCCCGCCTCTGGAGAGTGGAACAGGCTGCTCACCACAAACTCGTCACCTTAAAATGCAAAACCAGAGCGCGTGTTGATTTCTTTTTGGAAGGTTTCAAAATGAGACCGAGTCAAAGAGGAATGGATATGGATTTCATTGCGTTATTTAAGTGATGGATGGAATCGAAATTTGAGCCGAGGTAGATAATTCCTGATGATTCCTTCTGCAAGAAATCGCCTACCGGTCCCTGCAGCGAGCTGGGCGTCCTGATGTGCTGATGCCCCCTGGTGTTGCCGAGGGCACATGGCCCAGTGGAGCTGGCTTCGGAACTCCTGGCGGTCATCTATGTGGATGTAGTCAAACACGTTCTGGTGCATCACATCAGTCTAGAAGGAAGACACAATGGCTTATTATACTGAACATAAAAAAAAAAAAAAAAAAAGCCCATGACATAACTCTTAAATAATTCATCTCAAGTACAGTACTTGTGATGATGAAATTGTTTCTATGTGTGGTAGGTGCCGTTTTGGCGGGAGGATTACACTCAATGCCGCGAAGAATTCGCCTCTCATGAGGCCCAGAGCACTTTTGCCATTTTAACTTGGTTCGCGCAGTGCAAACAAAGTCGGTGCAAGTCACAGAATTGCACAGCCTTTTAAAAGTACAGTTAGAGTTGAGGGCAGCTGCAGGGCCAATGAGGGCAGCTGTGTTTGTCAAACATCGCGTGACACCAGCTCCCGAACAGCAGTCCGGTCCAGCTAACCCTCCCTATCCACACACACACACACACACACACACACTGAGTCAGACTCCAGCCCGCTCTCGTCATCGCTCTCTTTTTTTCTTTTCCAGCAATTGCTTTGCTTTCTGTCATTCCCTGACAGATTCCTCACTAGCATGTTCAACCTTCTCCTCTTCCCTCTCCGCCTCCTCCCCTGTGCCCAATTCCACACTGGTGGCACGCGAGGGCTTTTGATCGTCTGCCTCTCCTCGGCGCGCGCCTCATCCTGCGGTTTGGTACCCTACCGGCAGTCCGGTAGACACCAGATGGATCGAGTGACTTTTGTTTATGCTCAAAAAACCGAGTGAGGAAAAGAAAGAGGAAAGAAAAGGAAAAGACGTGATAATTTTGCAGCCCTTCAAAGGATAACCGCGGCTGTAACAAATACCATCAAAGGCCGTTGGAGGATTCCTTGTCTTCTTTTGTGGTGTTACTATGTCTGTTACTTCGCTGTGGTATATTAGGGATAAGTGTCCCCTCTGACTACAATTGTGGGCGCCAGATTACATGACATGTTGTCAAAGCAAACTATGGGACTTGAAAACAAAACAAAAAAAATTGTTGTGAGAGAGTCTGTGGGAATGTTTTTGTCGACAGTTGTCTGAAATACAACACGATGGTCTGTGGGCACTTGAAAAGACTCATTGGGTTGGTCGCGAAGGATCAACTGTTCAGTGTCAACCGCACTTCTATCTCCCGACGGGGGGACCTGTTTTGGGGGCTTTGTGAACTCTGACGACTCGATTTGCATTGTCATGTTGACGTTTTGGAAAACATAAACAGTGATTTCCTGCCTCTGATGATCATAAAAGCTAACCGCACTTAAGTGGTCGGCATGCCGGGATGCTTTTCGGCACCGCTTCACAACAAGGCGACATAATAAGAGAGAATGAGAAACTGTTTCTATATCTGAAATGTCCATCCATTTATTCTTAGATGAATGAGAAATAGTGAGGAAAACTGCCCCGCCGGCAGCTGATATTCACACCCGGAACTTCAGAAAAGTGAGGCAGACGTGCCAACCGCTAAACCTCCTTGCTGCCCAAATACTAATCATGTCGTTGTTGAGCCTTTGGAAATCGTTACGTGGGGCTGAACAAAAAAAGAAAACCCATAAATGTCTATGCTATACCACGGCAACAGTAACTTACAACGTACAGCCACAATTTTACAACAAGGCACCACTTCCATGTGTTGTAAATAGTTTTTACGTGCTCATGACTTAATGTTTAGTTAGAGGTCTCTTGGCATGAAAATTGACATTCATACTTCTTTTAGCACCCATGGTGTGATGATTTTTTTTCTCTCCTGGGGCTTAGTGGGGGCTCGACCGATATGTGGGGGTGAGTGGCTGAGAAAATAAGCAATTTTCATCGCTTCGCTTACGGTTCTCATTTTTTTTTTCCAATCAAAGCGTAATACACAAACATGAACATGTTCCATATAAAAGAAGTTTTGACTTAATTTGGCCAAAGAAGATTCAACACAGAAACAAAACCGAACGTGAGCGTCTTAATGTTTTTAAACTTTATCAAAAATGAAAGGGGCTTGTCCTTTAATAATCAATCTACAGTAAGTGTCACTTTTACTGTTATGCCCTTAAAACCGCGGGGTTTAAAATAACCCATATTCTTTCAAACTCGATGACGGCCACTGCTGACATCAGCACTTTCTTTCACACACGTGCACGTGTCGTGTCGATTTATTTTACACTGATTTCGTTTTTATGTCTATTCCATGGCAGCGGATTATTGCCCATGTCTTCTTGTAATCTATTGTAGAAGCACCGTTGCAGAAAGAATTCCTATTGCAAAATGTCAATCTGGTGCAGTGTGTGTGTGTGTGTGTGTGTGTGTGTGTGTGTGTGTGTGTGTGTGTGTGTGTGTGCAGGCTACAGGGGAGCAAAATGTGGGATTTAAAAAAGTGATAGGAACTTTATTTGTGGCTATAAAGAGATTTCAGCATCGTGGGGCAGGCGAGGCCATGTTGAATATCATCCATAATTAATGACCGGCTTGATATGGCCACTGGAGAGGAAGGAAGCATCACCATTGGGGATTTATCAACACACCGACACAGACACACACGCACACACTCAAGACCTTTGTGAGTGGAACTGAGGTCTTCATCTTTCCGTGACCTCTTAGCCAAGATTTGGTGTGTTCACTCTGCCCTCAAGAGAGTTAGCAGAATTTATGCTGGCTCATTAAACAAGAGATGAAAAAGAGCAAAAGAGGATTGGAGGAGGGGAAATTGACCCAAAAAAAAGGGGAAGGTTGAACTTGCTGAGTCAGGCCGAGGAGCTGACCTCTGTCTGACACTTGCTTCAGAGTCAGATGAGAGTAAATCAGATAAACTTGATGCTCCGCGGGTTGTGTACAATACGGTTCTCGACAATGGTAGAAAAGTTCAACCCACCTGATGGAATCCCAGATAGTCCACAATGGTTGAAGAGGCGTAAAAGACCATTCCGTCACTGCTCACCACCAGGGCAAATCCTGTTAGAGACTACACACACAAACACATTCACGGCGCGTTAGAATTCCACTGTACAGTACCTGGGTCTTTTTTTTTTTTTTTTTAATCACTCTGAAAGCAATTACACAGAAAACAAAAGACCTGAAGGCACACATCGAGAGATCAGCTTCGTGAGATACAGTGTAATAAGAGTCGTTCCAGAATTGAAAGACATTTTCTGGCCCCCTTTGGTGAAATTTTACAAACTTCCACTTGTTGCGCTGTTGTCCTAGAACAAAATCTGAATGTAGCTGAAGTCAAAGTGATTCCTAAATACAATTTCAAATGCCAAATAGTTCCTCTTTGACGATACAGCAAAGTGTGCTTTCAACCAATTAGCATAGCCGCTAACATAGCGAAAATGTACTCTCAAATAGAAACTGTAATTAAAGTAACTAAAAATAGTTTTCAAGTAGTTTAATTTGAAAGGGATTTATTGAACAATATTTTTTTTGGATGGCTGAGTATCTGTCGCAGGGTTGCAACAAACACAGCACATGACCAATAAAATTTTCTCATACACCGTTAGTGATCAATCAAATAATATGACAGCCCAAGCAGCAAATTGCGTGATGGCCCTCTTGGAATTGTTCTGCTTAATGATATGAATTGCATTTTTGGTGGCCTCAACATGCCTGAAAACGTCCCATATATGAGCTTATTCAATTCTATTCTACACGTTGTGCGGAAAATATTAATTTTAGATTCCGTGTGATAGTTTAACTTTTTCACAGCATGAGATAGCTATCCCTCATGTTCAAAGACCGCCAAACATGTTGTTATGCTTAGTGGTAAACAAACTAGCGGCACGCTTTGTGGTCATAAAGTGCTCTGCAAATATGATCATCAATCGTAGAGCGCTGATGAAAACATAATTTACCAAAAGCAAAGCTTCAGTCAATGTACAGCCAGATGGGCAGTAAGGCGAGAGCTGAGCAAAACAAGCGGGAGAGGAAGAAGAAGAAAGCGCAGGAAGGAGATGTGTCACTGAGCACGTGCGCGTGCGAGCCCGCGCGCAGCTGCGATAGCGTGACAACGGCAAGGCTACTTGAGTTGCGTGACTGCCGCTGCCAGAGTCTGTCGCCTCTATTTTACTGCGAGACTACGCAGGTCTTCCCTGTTGTGTGTATGAACTCACAATTTTCTGTCGGCCTCTGTGTCAGTGATCCGATTGCCTCAGCAAAGCAGCTTCCTTCACGCTAACGACATGGGAGTCATGCTTTCCATCAGTTCCCACTCGTGGAACGTTTGATCAATTTGCATGCCCATTTTTTAAATATAGCTCCACGCCAGCCAATGCATCAATTACAAAAAAAGAAGACAACTTGTATTTATGGCCTAAAACAGTCATTTAAGTTGGAAAAACTAATAAAAAAATAAATGACTGACATTTACGGCAACAATGTTAGTTAGCGCAGCTTGCATGTTGTTTTTTACTTATAACTTATTGAACTAATAAACCTAATAAAAGGTTACAACCGTTCTGTTAAGTCTTATTTTTCTTTGTGATGAAATGCAGGAAAGTTTTCACAACAACAAAACTTAAAACGCTGAGTTGAATTGCTCAACCTAAATTGCAAATCAAAGTCTGCTGCTTTGAAATTTTGAGTTCACCCAATATTTTTTTGACAGTGTAGCTTTTCTTGAGAGAATGAGTACTTTTGGTCACCTCTTGTTACTCTGAAATACACAACCGCATACCTCTCACACTGACCAAGGAAACCCACTCACTCCATAAAAACTCAGACATTAAAAAATCTCACCCAAAAAAACTCGCACACTACCACAAACCTCACACACACCACAAATCTCTCTTGCACACAGATGTACCAAAAAGCTCACACACTAATCAAGAAAAATATCACATGCACAGCAAAATCTCTCTCTCTTTTTCTCTCTCTCTCTCTCTCTCTCTCTCTCTCTCTCTCTCTCTCTCTCTCTCTCTCTATATATATATATATACACACACACACACACACACACACACACACACACACACACACACACTACATTGGACATTAAAGGACTTTTGCAAACCCTGACCCTTTCATTTTTTATGCTTTTATTTTTCTTCCTCCTGCAACATAGATACTTGACTGGAGAACACAATTTATCTTGGAATAAGTCTATACACTTGAATATTTGTATTCCCCATCAAGGCTGCCGTACGAGTGTGTTTTCTTCTCTCTCACACTGAGGCGCGTAAGCAATGGAAACAGGCACCTGCTGCTTGGCTCGTCTGCAACATATCTTCAATTTACGGCGCCCCCGGCTCTCATAACTGCCCTTGGGAGACTAAAAGCTTTGCCTTGAAACTCTTTGGAGGGCCTTCGCACGCAGAGCCCAAAATTAGATGTCGGCTCTCCGCTGGATTTGGAGGCAAGAGAGACCGGCGAGGAGAGGCAACGTAGTCTTGCTCCATTTGATTTAGCCAGATGAAGACAGCGTGGGTGGGTTCGGGATTAAAATAGAGACCTTCTGCCAGCGGGAACACACACATTCATCACAGCCATCGTGCACTTTGGCATGGGACGGCAGTCTAATTCAGATGAAAAATACTGCCGTCTACGCACAGTGCAATTAGTGCTAAATGTTCACAGTCGTAATATTTTGGCCATGTTTTGAGAGCAATTAGCCCCCCTCGACGAGTCACTACCTTCCAGACAGATCATTAGGTACACCTTCATATGTAAATTCTGTGTGTGATTTTTTAGCTACATAAGAGGGGCAAAATGTTGGAAATGATGCAATTTACTCTCTGGTGAAATGGCTATCCATGGCAGAGGTGGAGGACTCGAGTGACCAAGTTAGCTACATAAAAGGGGCAAAATATTGGAAACGATGCAATTTACTCTCTGGTGAAATGGCTCCATGGCAGAGGTGGAGGACTCGAGTGACCAAGTTTAGGATTTGGGACTTGCTCGGCAACTTGAAGCACACTACTTGACTGATCGCCGTCAGCTTTGTTTTGATGAGCTTTTTTTTCCACAGTCGTGACTTGTAAAAGACGAATCATCAACAAACATTGCAACCATTATATTTGCTGAGATCCACTGTAGGGGCGCACAAAGGCGAAATGATAAAAACCCGCGACTGGCCAAATACTTGAGGACCTAACTGTCACACATACCTTTGAATAAAATCAAAGCCGAACACGAATGGCGACACACGCACGGCACGATCTCTTGTCCCGCTTGGGATCCCATCAGCGTAACAACTAATGCACAGTTTAGCGCTGAGGCCCTCGTGCAGGTCGAGTCACGCAACGGGAGGCGGCGCATCACTACGGTCAATCTAGTCTTTTGTTCGCCATCCTATTGAGACAACCTAACACGTTAACAGAAGCATCAGTGGCTCGGCTCGCCTCTGCGTGTGTGCGTGAGCGCTCATAGTTGTCGGGCTGCGATGATCGGTGTCATCATTAGGACCTCGCGCGTGAAACAGTGATCTGATTTATCGGCGTGGCGCGAATAGTCGTCCTTGCGTGCGTGCTGTCGACATACGGAGCCGTGCGTGCCGGTTTTAATTAAAGATGAGCTAGGTAAATATATGCATGATTCAGATTTTGGAAGGTCAAGTGATGAAACGACATCTTGGGTTTGCGTTGATTACAATTGACGGGCTGGGTGCTGCCTTTTGGCTTGTCTTTTGCTCACTTTCACACACACCTCGCAGGCCGCTCAAGTTGCCAAAATGTATGAGCCCCCACCCCCTTCTTTAGCGCCGACACTCCCGTCTCATCCTTATGTCACGCAAGGCGGCAACCAGGCAAAAGAGGTCGAGGCAAAGGCCGGAGGTCACACACGCACACGAGATGTTCCCTCCTGTTCTCCAATTTACTCATACTTGCCGATCTTGCCAATGGGGCATATAAGCGTGAAGTGTGGAAGGCAGGAGAGGGGGTCTTACAAAACAGCATCCCCCTCCGCAGTTCGTCCTTCCTGTCCCCACTATCGCATGTGCAAATTCAAAGTTGAGCACCTTTGGTCTGTAGCACGTCGTGCCGCAACATGCTCGGCAGCACCGAGGGCGACTGGGAGACAAGCAGCATAATTAAGAGCAAGAAAAGAAAGAGAAGATCCCCAACTACAAACCATTAAGTTTTCCCCCCACCCCACAGAGCAGAGAGAACATATAACTGTGTGTTGCATGTCTGTGTGTGCTAAGTTGCCGTTGGTTGAGGGGATGTAATTTCTATGTGTGTGCTAATTTTCAGTAGCCCCTCAAAAGAGTTTCACATTAGACCTGAGCATGAAGCTAGGAGACTTTCGTTCGACGGAATGATCTGGTTTGGTTGAACAGTTTGGTCAATTGCATCTTAATCCGCCAGTCTTCTTTTCCTTTCCTCAAAGTGATGTTATACCACAGGAAATGGGCATATTGTAGTTTGAAGAAAATAAAGTACATGCCATCCTGGTGCATTGTACTTAAGACTTTTTGACAAGGATATATTCGGCGTGAATGGCTTCTTACCTCCAAGAGCAGGCCGCTTTCATTGACGCCCGTGCACATTGGGACACTTTCTTTCCTGCCGGGTTCGGGGTTGGAGGATGCAGTGTTGTTGTGCTTCCTGGGCACCTTGTCTTGATTTGCTATGAGAAAAGAAAACGTAGACATTAGTTTTATATATTTAGGGTGGGGTGGGGGGCCTTTAGACAATTTACTATAAGACACCTCACATCTGTTACTTACTACAAGAGTCATGTCACGCGAGGGAAGCAACACCTGATTTTGTTTTCTATTTCTGCTAACTATGAGTGACAATTGTCCAATATCCTCTCAAAGTCAGACAGCACATGTGGAATACATATGAAGAGTTATGAGGTAAACGTCTCTCTTTGCTGTGCTAATGCCGGGTATTAGGGCCCGGTGAGCCCCTCGTCTGACAAGACAGAACAGTGGAGGATTTCATGACTGCGGAGGATTTCTCTCACACGGACACGCAACGCTTCCAGGCTCAGAAAGGTGGCATTTCATTCAATTAAAGGTTCTTTTATTAAGAATGCCCCTTTTGAGCTCAAAGTGGGCCCTTGTGTCAATCCCCCAAGGGCAAAGAATAGAGCCGAGAGACAATTCTAATCTTGTAATCTTTTTGAACACAGTTCCCATCCTCTTGTTGCCATTTGCTGGTTGAAACAACAGAAAATACATGTTTAAGTTCTACCTACAATGCAATCAGACGAGTGCGCAATTAGCCCGCGGAGAGGGTGGCGTGCACAGGGCGGTCACATGGGCATCGGTGACGTGTGTGTTGCGTGTTCGATACATGTTTGCGTGTTTCTCTTATGGGCGTGCTGTCAGGGGGCATGTGGCTCACTCCAAGAGATCAGCTCTTTGCTCCGTCACTCATTGTAGCAGGCACGGATTAGTCACGCAACACAACATATACACCCACACCCACCAAGGGCTCATTATAAAAAAGTATAAATGGCTGCATCTTCCAGCGCTTCACATCGTGCCGCACCGCTCCCTGTTGCAAACCTCTTATATGCCCGTTAGCATCTCCAAATTCAAAACATCACTGCAGATAATTAAAGAAGTTATTATTTGGGATTAAAAAAATCCCTACAAAAAAGTTACAATAAGGTACTCTCATATCAATGATCCCCCTGCCAGTGTTAAAACCCCCCTTTTTGGGGTTACCATGGTAACCACAGCCTCAAAAGTGGTAGATTTTTTTAAATGTATTTTTCAGTATTTCAGTAAGTGCCCTGTAACCACTTACTGTAACCACCGTTTGCTTATTAGCTATTTATTCCAAGTTTAATGTCATAATTAACCTCTTTATTTGTGTTATTTTCCTTAAAGCCGCAATGGCTGTCGTCTGACTGTAAAGCGGTGCCCGTACATAGGAGTGCTTTATTTCCCCTCGTTACGACGGCAGCCTCATTAACTCATAAGTGCCAGCTAATAAAGTATTTTGTCACCGCCTCAGCGAGGTGCAAACATATGCAAACAAACACAGTCAGACAGCAAACGTGCGCGCGCGCGCACACACACACACACACGCTATTCTCCTCAGTCAAGACAGCATCATCCAACTGGTGGAAATCATTGCACGGGGAAACGAATCAATTAACAGATCTTAATTTTCCTCCGTCAACGCCTTGTGTGTTTTTGTTTTGCCTCTTACGGCAGCTTTTGGAGAGGATGCAGCGTCAGGAAAGACAAACATGCGGGATGATTAATTATCGGCCTAGGCACTTCCTCTGCCAACAATGCGGCCTTCATCCATCGCGACTCGCGTCTTGAGGTTTGCTTTTCTTGCCTCTATTTTCTCCCGCTCTGGACGAAGAAGGAAAACAGAGTGTGTAATGGTCAAAGCGTTTAAGTGTGAGGAAAGAGTCAAAAAAAAAAAAAAAGAAATGACAAGCAGCGGGATGTTGCTGCTGCCAAGGGGTGAGGCCCAATGCGGCCGGGTTCTTTTAACTCGGCCTGATCTGTCTTTCCACTTCCACTTGTGAATACACCAAAAATTAGGACCACCTGCCAGATATTAAGATGTCTCAATTTTGCAAAAGCTACAGCTCTCCCGGGTCTTCAAAAACAGTCATTTGAAAAGAGAATTACCACCTAAACTAAACACGTGTTAATTAGCCACCTGTTGGTAGAAAGGAAAAGTGATGGGAGGAAGATTATTATGAAGTGATTTGACTTGACCACACACACACACACACACACACACACACACACACACACACACACACACACACACACACACACACACACACGCGAGGAGGGTTTGGATTTTGTATATTTGATTTTAGAGGCTGTTCCCTACCAGTTTCAGCTCCACGAAAACAAAAAAAAAATGTTATGAATTTACTCAGTTTTATTTTGTCAAGGGGTTGCACAAAATAAAATCACCTAAATTCAGATGCATCCTTTTAATAAAATTGGGTAATTTCAACAAAAAACGTTGTTTTGCTGTAATTTCTCAAATGTTTGTTCAATGCAACCTCACAACAAGCTCTTCAAAATCTTGAAACTAATTCAGTTCAGTTTATAAGACAGCTTTTTGAATGATTTTTTTTTCTTTTTTTTAAGTCGTACAGCACCACAGCGGATTCAAAATAGGAAGGTTTCTGTCAAAGAATAACACTGGTCAACAAATTTGTACATTTTTTTCTAAATCAGAGATGCCGGTAACATTTCTAAAGGATTTTTTTTTTTTTTATCAAGTACAACCTTATTGTCAAATTTTGTGCTGATTCCAAACCTGCCTTGTTTTTTTCCCCCTGTAGCACATAAGGTTTTCATCATAGTATGATAATTTATGAATCAAGGGTAAAGTTCAGCAACAGGTGGAATCTTTTTATGAAACGTCACAGCTATAAATTAGAAATTTGTATAGCGCAAGCTTTTATAGCTCAAACTTAAAAACAAAAAAATGAAAATATCTCCAAATCCTGATATGCCAGAAACAAAGTGGAGACATTTTTTAAATCAGTGTCAAAAATGTTTCGAGACAAATGGATTAGAATTTAAGACAAGATTCTGAAATGTGAGACACTTGGCCTAAAACAGTTTCATCATAAATGAGTAAGTTCTTAAAATTTTAATTAAAGCTGATAGTCAAATGTGAAATTAAATATCTCACAAAATGATGAAAAACCGTACGGATGAATATTTCAACGGGACGTTTGTATCTTAGAGGAATGGCATGACATTATGTTGAGGAGTGTCGCATGACTCCGGACTTGTTGCGCCAGTGTTTTGCAAGCCGTGAGCACAACAGTGGCACGCATCACATGTCGCGAATACTACAGGTCCACTCTTTGGGGCCATGTTACTATCCGCTGTGATGTGCAGTGAGGAGCAAAGAAAAAGTGTTCATACATGGCTGCTCGCAGACACAACACCAGCTGCTGCACGCTTTTAACCTTGACCTTTCACCGTGCGTGCAACACCGGCCCACAACAAGCAAACAGGTAGCAATGCGTAAAAGCCCAAAATAGAAAAAAGACACAATGGCCGACTCCAAAGTAAAGCCACAGTTTGATATGTTGTGAATCAGTCAGTAATCGACGCTCCCTTCATAAAAAACGTGGCAAAGTACCACATTTGCCTGAATGAAGCACATCAACCCACTTCAGCATAATTCCTTGACACCAAGGCACCACAAGACTGTTTCAAATCACAATTTGTCAAAATAAAGCTCATCAACTCACGTCAACACTGTTCAGCTACATCGGCAAGCCACAAGATGGTGCTACAACACTACTGTTGTCGAAATGAAGCTCCACAACTCAGTTCAACATATATCAGTGGCACAAATATGCCAAACATTTTGTCAAAATGAAAATCTCAACATTTCAAAGGCCAATTTATGCCTAAATGAGGCTCCTCTCCACATTTCAACATCATTTCTTGGCACCAAAGCACAACATTTGTCTAAATTTAATCTCAAGTCACTGAAGCTCCACAACTCACCACAAAAGGGTTCCTTAGTACCAAGATGCCACAAGATGGTGCCAAAGCAATAAAAATATTGCTTTGGCCCAAACAAAAGAATTGAATCTCGGGGCGTCCACTGTGTTTAAAAATTGGATCCATGTGTAGATTACCTTATCAAGCTCCTCGCCAAAATTTTGGTCACCCTTGTTTTTGTGGGAGTTTGGTGTTTGTGAATGATCTGGTGAACTTTTATGAGTCCTACTATTTCCTCTTTTACTGCGTGCAAATGACTGGCCGCCTTTTGCGCAGCACTCTCCACGTCTGGCCTTTCTCTTCATTTCGGCAGCACGGTGCCATCTTTTGGCAGCTGATGCTCAGCTGTGTGTTTGGCTCGTAAAGAAGCGCCTTGGACTGGAACATGCGAGCACGGCGCGGCAGTCCCTCCCCTCGACGAGACTTGCGTGAGGAGAGGAAAAACCGCGTGTGTGCACGCGGGTGTGTGCGCGCGCGCGCGTGTGTGTGTGTGCGTGTGTGTGTGTGTGTGTGTGTGTGTGTGTGTGTGTGTGTGTGTGTGTGTGTTAGTGCATATGTGTGTGTTGGGCCTGTGTTGGCTGAAGGCCACCTCCTTTGCCTAGTCCCGCCCCTTTCACTCAGCGCTCTTCTCTGCAAATGTGTGTGTGTGTGTGTGTGTGTGTGTGTGTGTGTGTGTGTGTGTGT